CTCTTCACACTAAAGGCCAATTCTAACGAAATCAGTTACACATTGGTATTTGCAAAATTTTTATTCAGCAACACTTCAGACCGTGCTTCGTTGGCAGAAGCAGATTTTAGAGTGGGTACAAAGTTTTTGCAGGCGAGAATAACAGGACTCCTTTAGCTCCACGCGAATTTCAGCATTTTTATATTATATTTCTTTTTTCTGAATAATCTAGTCAGGTTTTATGCTCAAAATATAGCCTCTAAACGAAAAACCATCCATCCCTAGCAAATTTTTAGCTTTAGTTTGGTACTGCCTGCTAGTCGTCCGTCTATTGCGAGTTGCGAGTTTATAAATTCTTTTATTTTAAAGAATTTAGTCTGCAGCGGGTATGATGTTTTGGAAGAAGATGCCATTCAAGGTCATCCCTCTGGAGAGAGTATCAGCACCTAAGAGTAAATTCGAAATTCTTGTTACTTAGTACTCTGGTTCCAGGAGTTGGATACAGTTTATGGAGGTATGGGATTTCTCATGTCATATTCGCTTTCCAGCCTTTACTAGAGTACAAGGGAGTCAAAGAAAAAAAGAAAGAAAAAAGTTCTGAGAAAATTTGGTAGACCTTCCTCAAGCGTGAATACCAAAAATTTTCAATTTTCAACAAAATAAAAAATTAAATAAAAATTACAAACTTTTGTACTACCCTGTTTTGAAATATGAGTTGCGATTTATTGTCAGGCCAGTTGAGCATATTAACTGAGTTAGTTAGTTAGTTAGTTAGTTACTTAGTTAGTTACTTGGCTATATTTTTTTTTACATTTTGCGACAATTACAATGACTGGCTGCGTGTAATGAGTATGCGCAAAGGGGCACCCAGGAAAACTTTTAGATTTATATGGATGTATGTACATATGTATGTATGTATATACACATGTAATAAAAATTTATTTGTGCGCATTTATGTACCTACATACATACATATGACGACAATAATATGTGGTGTTGCATAATTGTGCGCGCATTAAACAGTCAACGACACGGGATGAGCCGCGTCGAGCCGCAGTATGTGCGATATGCAGCGCACAGTGTTGAGAAACGATTGGAAGTGGGCACAGCTGGCAGCTGGCCAAAAAACATGCTTGGCTGGAATTTCTATAAAATGTACGTATATACATACACATATAATAAATATTATATATATTTAATTTATATAAATAATATACATAAGTATATATGTAATATGTGAGTGTATTTAATTGCGCGCGCATAAAGTAAAAACACCGTCAATTTTGTGAAAATTAATTTTTGGCGACACAACTGCCAAAGGCTTAGCAAAAGCTAAAAAAAATTAAATAAAAATATTTAAAAATAAAACAATTAAAATGTGAAGTACGTGCATTAGTAAAAAAAAATAAAAATTAAATAAAAAATTCAATAAAAGAAAATATAAAATCACAAATAAAGGGAAAAAAATAAAAAAAAGCCAAAAAAATTGACATTAAAAATGGCAATAATTAAATAATTTAAAAGCGTTACGCGAATGGCATGCGCGTAATTGCCAGCGTAATGCATATCAGCGTATTAAATACAGTTAATTAGTTGGCGCTATTATTATGGCTCAGAGTGAATTTTTTATTTATTTTTTTTTTACGTAAACCGGAATTTTTCGTAGAAAGTGTTAAGAACAGTTCAATTTTTGTTTGCTTTACTTCTTCTTCATCTGCTTGTTTTGTTTCATTTTTTATTTAAATCTGAATTTACCGAAATTCGCTTTTGTTATACCAGCTTGACCTTGTTTCATGTTATTTTTTGTTTTTTTCCTTTCATAGCGTTTCTTTAAGCCACATTTGTGGTCACCCACATACATACATATATACATGTATACATCTATATGTATGTATATGCAAACTTCAGAGATTTCGCTCGTGAAATTTCGCTTTGCACATGACAATGAGTGGACCGAAACGTCAAATAAGCTTACGCACATATAAATGTATATGTAAATGCAAATACAAATATGCTTATGTTTGGGTGAAGGGAAAAGAAAAACTTCAAAGAAATGCGTCAACTCAAGCATGCATATATATATTTCTTGAAGCCCGCCAGCAAGAAATTATCATAGGCAATCTTTGCTCTTCTGTTGTCTACACCAACGGTAATGCTAATTGTAATCATGACTATAATCGTAATGGTTTGACGCGCCTCTATTGGCCAGTCGTCGGCTTTGTGTGTGTGTGTGTTTTTTTTTTTTGTTATTTTCATTTTAAAGCGTTTAAAGGTAACTGGCAAAGTTCATGGTATTCAAGAAATTCTGCGCCTTATGCCGCCAAGTACTTATACTTATATTATTTGTTATTTATGTAGTATGTTTGTATGTACATACATATGTGTATCTATTACAGTCATTATAGGCGTTAAAGGTATTCATATGTAAAGAGCTTTTTACAACACCCATAAAGTGTTGCATTTACGCTTGGGTCATTACAAACACACATACATACGCACTTGAATACTCGCATACCTACATACATAGATATGTGCATATTAGAGCATTTTACCTTGGCCATTGCCTACTTTGAGTTAAGTATACAATATTTTATCACCAATTGCTACAATTCCTACAATTGCTGGCGAAATGCATTTATAACTTTGACACGCATTACTGGAGTACGCCCAATAAAGTTATTTTTATAACTGTTATTACGTTAATCATTATACAATTGTGTTTACACATACAGTACATACTCCTAGTCAGACGGAAATATTTTTTTTTTTTTTTTGTAAGCGAAATATAAATAAAATAAGGTAAAATCAAATAAAATTAATTATTAAAATAATAAAAAATTAAATTTAATAAAAATAAAAATTAAAATAAAAATAAAAAAAATTAAAATAGAAAAATAAAAATATTAAAAAAAACAGAAATAATGTAAATAAATAAAACAAGAAAAACTAAATAATATAATATAATAAAATATAATATAAGAAGGAGAGTAACCCTCGGTCATATTATTAAAACAAAATAAAATTAAGGAAAATAACATAAAACAAAAAAGGGAACTCCGCAGAGGAAAATAAAATTAAAAATATTTTGAACAAAACTTCAATTGGAAATATTTAATTTAAACAACAATAAAATACAAACAAAATAAAATGAATATAATTTAATAATATGTGATAAATTAAATAGGAATCAATTAAAACAGTAAAAACTGAAGGAAATTAAAAAAAAAATAAAATTGAATTCTACTTTTTTTAATATAAATTTAAATGAATTAAAATTATTAAAAATGATTATATTAAGTAAAAAACCAATAAAGGTAAGCCAGCAAAATATGCATTTAATAAAATAAATCAGAAAGAAGAATTGAAATGAAAATTAAATACAATAAAAACAACAACATATAAAAACAAAATAAAATAAATGAAAAATAAATAAAATCAATTAATTAAATATTTGTTTAAAAAGAATGAACTTAAATTAAATAAACCAAAAATAAAATAAGTCAACTAATGTAAAATAAATTAAATTAAAATTAAATGAAATAAACCTAAATTATTAAATAAAGTAAACTCAAAATAATTAAATACACTAACGTATAGTGATACATATTAAAAAGAAATAAAATAAAACTAAAATATGAAATAAACTAAAATAAAACAAATTAAAATGATATAAAATAAGTTACAACAAACTACAAAAAAAAATTAATAAATAAAGAAAAGGAAATAAAACCAAATTTAATTAAAAAAAATTAAGTTAAATCATATCAAAAATAAATAAAATAAATAAAAATTAATAGCAACAAAATGATGTAAATTATGATTAAATTATTATTTTGGAAATTGAAAGAAAGCATAATTTTAAGTTTCAATAAAGTGAAACACAATAAAAATAAAACTAAGAACACAGATAAAATAAAAAAAACCAAAAATAAAACAATTTTTCAAAAATTAAACAAAATTAAATAAATTAACGCAAATAAAATAAAACATTGAAGTCAAATAATTTAAAAAAAATGCTAAAACAAAAGAACAAGAAATAGAAATTTAAAATAAAATAAATTACATTGAAATTAAAATTTTTATTTAAATATTATTAAATAAATTAAGGCAAATTAAAATGGAAGAAAAGAAAATATAAATTTAAATAAATCAAAAAATAAATAAAAAATATTACACAAAATTATTTTTAATTTGAAATTAAATCAAACTTGAATTAAATAAGCGTAAAAAGTAACAAATACAATAATATAAAATGAAAGTAAAAAGTGAAATAATATAAAATAGATTTATTTAACACAAAATTAAAAAAAAAATTAAATTAAAGCATACAACAGAAATTAAATTACATAAAGAAAAGTACAATAAAAAATTAAATTTAGTAAAATAAGATAGGCCCTGATAAAGCCAATTAAAATAAATTTAAAAAAATAAATTAATTTAAATATCATAAAAGTAATAAAATGAGTTGCAATAAATAAAGGTAAATAAATCAAGATACAAAATTTGATTAAAAAATAAACTACAGCAAAATAAAATACTTAGTCAAATAAAATAAATGAAATATAAAACAAAATTAATATTATATCTAAAAACTCATTTAAAAAAAATTAATATTAAAATTAAAATTAAAATTAAAATTAAAATTAAAATTATAATTATAATTACAATTAAATTCAAATATAATCAAATGAGGTAAATAAAATTGAAGAAAAATAACATAAAATTAAACAAACAAAAAACTGGTGCCAATTAAAAATAAAACCAAATTAAAAATTTAAATTAAGAAATTAAAAAAAATTAAATAAATAGTAAGTGGAATTAGATAATAAAATAAAATGAACAAAATAAAAATTGTAGAAAAAAGGAATAATAAATAAACCAAATAAAAATTAACAAAATATAATTCAAATAAACCAAAATAAAATTATATTAAATTAACAAAACTCAAAAGGGAAAGAAAACAAGAAAAAAGTTGTTGTGTCTCATGCACAGAGCGCTGACATTTTGAAAATCAAACTCACCGTTTTTCCAGCCATTTTTTCGAAGTATCCAATAGAAATGGTAATCCTTTAGAAAACAATGCCAGTACAAAACTACTCTTTTCACTTGTTTCACCTTGTAAGCACTTCACACACTAATACACCTGTATCTGTTTTGCTCGATTTTCACGATCCTGCGCACAGGGAGTACAGAATTTATTGTACGTTTTATACGCTGTATTTTAGTTACGATGCTTATGCTACTATATGTTAATTAATCGGTGTTGAATATTTATGTAGACGTCATAATTTCATACGAAAAAATCACTTTTGTGCGTTTGGCAAATTTTTTTTTTTTTTTCAAATATATTTTGCCTCGTTCAACGCGTTCACAAACCACAATTCACACGCAATTCTTCTGCCAACTCGATGTTGTTTGTATATACGTGTATATTTGTGTAAAATGAACTTTCAAAAACTGTTTGTCGCGCAGACATTTCACTCGAACGACGAATGCGATAAATGAAAAAAACTGAACCGTCACTGCGCGCAGGCGCACTCATACTAACTGGACGCGTTCGTTGTGCGGCAGGTAAGAGTAGATAACAGTCGAAGCAACTGCTGCTTTGTGGCAAGACAATGAATGGCTGGAGAGATGATGATGCCAAAAGTCGTAGCCACAGTCGTGCGCAGAGAAACGCTGATACCAACAAATGTATGCGGCGAATGTTGTATACCTGATCTGTACAGTGTGTTCGTGGGTTTGTCTGATTGTCTGCCGCTCTCTGGAGAAATGAATGAGAAAATGAAATATAAAGACAACAAAGAAATGAATCACTCGTCTTGCATTGTAATAAATCAATACGCAAGCGATGAATCGTTGTTATCCTTGCAACCAGTGTTTATGTATGGAATGTGTTTGCGCGAAGTTGTTCTCAGTTGTTTTTGTGGAATATTCGAGTATCCTGAAGAAATATTTCACTGGTACAGTGCACAAAGCGATTTCTGGTTAGTAACTACGTAGCCGCTGAAGGGATTTTCGGCCGAGCTCGTCCTCCGAATTGTGGAGTGGACCTGGATTTTTTTTCAACATATGGAGCGACCCTGCACTACCCATAAGAGATGGTCTAAGGATCACGCCAGGGGCGGTACTACTAAGATTATTTGATCTACCACTAATGGACATCACATTGAGAAGCACTACATCGAAATCTGCCTTGAGATTGATGCCCTTAGAAGTTTCGAAGCTACTTTCAATGAGGGTGGATGATGCAGGAATGTGTGGGCCGCTTATGGTACATGCAATATTTACAACAATAGATCAAAGATGGCTCCATAGTGAAACTTCCGAAAGAGCTGGAGGCCGGATCAGAGTGAGATGGAACGCGTTTAAGTGGCATGGAATTGCTTTGGAACTTCATCATAGTCGCGTTTTGAAATGCCATTTAGTGGAAGTAGAAACTCCCAACTGTTGTGCCAAAAATACCATTTTTTATCCACTCTGCCATTGAAGCTCGTAGTTGCGTTTTAGTCGCTCATTGAATAGTCAATCTCTTCCGTCCGGGCATGAAATCAACGAACAGCAATATGTCTAAAAACTGCGCTTTGATGCAAATTGTAGCTAGACGATTAACCACCGGGGAGAAAGCCAGTACTTGGCGACCGAGTCTCTCTCCCAGGACAAATCCAACACAAAATTCGTGCTCCTTTATATAGCCGCTGTAGTAGAGTTCACAAGAAACCACTTTTTCTACCCTTGCCCCCTCCATAGAACTTCTTTGAGGACAGCGATGTCTGCCTTTAGTCTTGCGAGGACATCAATCAGCTGCTCGGAAGAACAATTAGGAGGACGGTCATAGCAGGTAAACTCAACTCGTCGGGTCGTCTCTTTGTAGGACTTTTCATTGTAGAAAATTCAAAATTTCAATGCTAAACCATAAATCATGAATTAGTGAAAGTTGCCATTATTTAAACAATTGCATAAAAAACCCGAAATTTGAATTTGAAAAAGTGCGATTTTTTTTTTTTTTTGCAAATATAAATATACAACGGTGTTAAAGTAGGCGAAATTTTGCCGTGAATAACGTCATTAAAATTTTAACAGTCTGCTTTGATAATCTGTTATTTGGTCACAACGAATTTTATTTGAAAAAAAATTCAAACGCACCGTACGCAGTCAACATAGATGCGGCGTGCAAAAGTAAATAAATAAATATAAATTTATATACATACATACACGTGTATGTCTGCTTAGCTCGTGGCGCGTTTAAACGAAACATCATCGGTGATCGGCGGCGGAACTGCAATACTTATAATCAAGACACGTCCATAATTGTTGCAAAGTGTTACGTGTTGCCGCTATGGGCCGCTGCGCGATCTGCTTTGTATATATTTATGTACATACAATTGACCTGCTGACAGCAGCAACAACGACAGGCTGTTTGCTTGGTTGCAAATCGACAAAGTCGCAATTTAGTCATAAATAAAGTTGAGTTAAATACAGTACTTTATAGAGGCTACCCAACAAGCGTTTAGTGTATGGTTCAATGTGAGAGGAAGTGAAGAGCTAGCTGACAACTCAAATTTCTAACATAATTTCATAACAGCAACTTCCACTTTGGTAGTTGTAGACAAGAGGAGGAGTCTGAAACCCCAAAGCACTTCATTTGCGAATGCTTCGCACTTTAAGAGGAATAGATTGAAGTCTCTGTACTGTATTTAGAGACATGGGCGAGTTAGTGGGGCAAAGATAGGACAAAAGCTCCCAGTTTTCCAGTTTTTCACAATCCACACATTGGTCTGACCAGCAGGTAGTGGTCATGACGATCCTCACTGTTATCACAATTTCCCCGTTCGATGATTTAAGTGACTCCATGCCCGGCAACCACTTCCACCTAATCCAACCTAACCTTAGGAATATCAAAAAAGGGCAAAACAGATGCAAGTTATGCATAAGAGACCATCAGAAATATAATAGCCTCCAAAAATAAAAGATCAATCTCGAATGAGAAAAACTGTGACGAATACTGGGACGAATATTGTAAACACCACGATTTGAGGGCAGGGGAAAGTTTTCTTTGCAGTTGTTCGCTGCATCTCGTTTATGGAGAAGTAAATTTAGAAAACGCCCGAAATGTTTCTTTTTCATATGCTTGGACCAGAGCGAGAGTCAATAGTTTTCGATGAATTGCTTTAAGGGGCAAAAAAAATATATAGTTCGGTGACTCGATGCATAGAAGTCGAGACCGGGTAATATAACTGGTACATTATAGCCGTTGAAGCGAATTTCGGCTGAGCTCTTCCTCCTCCTCCAATACGTGTTGTGCGCCTTGATATATTTTCTAGCAAACGAAGGACCTATACTTCATTCAAAGCCGCCTCTGAACGACTGATGGATTTTTATGAGAAGCTTTTATTTCGTGTTACAAACTCAATCGGAGCGATTGACATTCCCTGACTAGGAGGAACACAATTAATAACTACAATACTTAGACCATAATTGTGCGGATCTCTAGAAGTATCTCGAGTTACTCCACCACGCTCACGTGGAGCGCGTTCAGAAACCTAATTGGGTTTTAATTGTAGCATTGGGAGTTTTTTAAGAATAGTCGAGGCAAGCGGTTTTGTAACGTCTTGCTGTACGACGTCCATGTAATCAAATATATCTTTGTTAAGTGCAAGGGTGGCGTTTCCGCCTCAAGTAGATTTCTAAAGAGATTAACCCGGCTTGCAGTGCTTTTCGATGTCCTTTTTCACGGGGAGGATGAGTGTCTCGCTGTATGCTGCCAAATCTTTAGTCTAGGAATTCGATAAAATTTTTCACACAGGACACCTGGATTTTACTATCTGGCCTAGTGTTATCACCCTTTCAAGGACACTCTGGGAAGGTGTTTCGGTCTATCTGGTTAACAAACTTGTACAAATCCAGGAGGACAAAACCGCTATATAAGAGTTTTCGGACTGGCCTAGGTGAGTTTGGTCGTCTTAATATCTATTTTAGCGTTTTCTTTTTTTAATTTTGCTGTTTGACAGAAGAGACTTTCTTGACGCTTTGTAAACGCTGAAGCGATTTTTTGGCCGAGATCCTCCTCCAATTTGTGGTTTTGGTGTTTTTCCAAAAAATAAAGGGACCTACAGCTTATACCAAGCCACCTCAAAAAGGATGATGTTTACGAGGAGCCTTCATTTCATGTCAGAAATACACTCAGAGGGACTGACATTCCCTATGGAGGGGCGACCGTGTTTAGAAAATTAAACTTAATTTTAGATTTAAATTAATTTTCCATAAATTTTGGTTGTTGGTCGTAGCACGATTTGCACCAAGGCAGTACGCAATGCTAACCACTCGGCTACCGCCGTCGTCCCTTATCGAAAAAGCTTTTAGGAAATTATCAAATAGTGAGCTTTATGAGAACTATTGTATGAAGATATGGGCCAGCGAACTATGATTGCTGTCCAAATCATGTTAGTTGTAAGGCAGGACATTTTGAACAGCAGTTGCCGCTGGTAGCAGTTGAGTCAGTAGATATCATGCTTTCCCACGGTGGGCTCAAATGGAAGAGAGATTTCAGTTCTTTAGTATCTCCAATGGAGGCAAGTCACAGAGGGTTGCGGTGACTGTCTACTATAGTCGATTCGTTAATAAGGTAAACTTATTCGAACGAAATTTTATGCTGTATCCGAATACTATAACCGCCGAAGTTGGTCGTATGAATTTCATAAATTCGGGAAAATGTCTGGGTATTAATTTCTCCCATCTGGAAAACTAACGACTTACCGTATATGGAGATATATTCTCTATATGTTTGCTGGGTATTACATTTAGTTGCATATACATACACATACACATTTAGTTATATTACAGTTCGGCTCCGCACCTGATCGTCTATTCCGCCCCATTACGGACGAGTTAGTTGTCGTCGTCGGCATCGCTTTTGGTCGTTGGTCGTTGGTCGGCTGCGAAATGAAAACGAAACTGTCAAATTGTACAATCATTTTTTCCTTCTCGTTGCAGGCATTATACTTATATATTTGTTATTGTTGTTGTTATTGCTTTGCATTATTCCTCCAGCTGCAACAATTGCGCACGGTTACGCAGTGTTAAACACTTTTTATTTGTCTTACGTGAGAGCAATTTCAAATGGTCGCTTCTGCCGCCGACCATCCGACCATCCGACCAACCGCCCAGCTGAGCAGGTGAATGCGCATAAATACGAGTATGCATACATATGTACATACAAACATACGAAAATACATATATATAACATTTCGTACAATAAATAGTTAGTCGTGCATAAATAAGTGTATAAATAAAAATAACTGTATATAAAATATTCGTAATGTGTTTGTAAGTAATGTAATCACTTATTGTGAATACTCATATATACATACATACATACGTACAAACATACATATGTACAACATGAATTTATACATCAAACTTGTATTGCCAAAAAATGTAAAATATAAAATGCTTAACAATTATGAAGACTTGTTAACGCGTAGCGTTCGACCAAATGAAAACTGCTCATCTGCCCCCCGAAATGGCTAAAAATTGTTAACTCGCCATTCTACTCACGCCACTTTGTCCCACATTGTGATTCCCACTACGTCTGCTGTCTCGTGGAATGCATACATATATACTAGGCACATATAACAGGGCATGAGCAGCTCTTGCGTAATGTCGAAACTCGCGAAATTCGAAAATTTGACGGTAATTGTTTTTTTTTTGTTACTATTTTTGTCAGATCTCGATCTTAATGTTAGTAATTTGTATGTAATAGTTCATGGCTTGGACGTTACATTTGTTTCCGTCCGTCGTTTTTCCAATATTTAAAGGAATCTCATTAAGTAACAGATGATCCGCTAGTATCCTTGCTGGCGGCTGCGGTAGCCGAGTAGTTAGCATTGTTTACTGCCTTCAGGAACGATCGGTTTCAGATCCTCGTGTCGTACTAAAATCCAATAAATTGATAGTAAATTAATTTAAATAATTAAGTTAAATTTTCTAATTGTGGTCGCCCCTCGGCAAGGAATATCCACTCCTCCGAGTGTATTTCGGACATGAAATAAAGGCTCCTCATAAAAAAACCATCAGCCGTTCGAAGGCGGCTTAGTATAAATTGTACATCCCTCCATTTGTTGGAGAAATATTAGCTCGCAAAACCACAAATTGGAAGAAGTGCTCGGTCGAAAGTCGCTTCAGCGATAACAAAGCGCCAATTATATACATATATCCTTGCTGTCGAACTTCCTCATGAAGTTGGTGTCTCTTTATCTACCTTTCGACTGCTCAACCTTACTCCCAACTTAGGCGCATTGAATTCCAGCTAATCTTTTGATCAAATATAAATAAAGATTAACTGTATTAAGTACATATGTATGTATTAACTTAATTCAGCTGAATTCGTCTGCTTTATTTATATATTGCACTTTCTCCATAATTTGCAAAGCAGTCAGAAATTTTTATTATCGAAAAAACAACAAAAACTGCATACTTATTAGTGCCATAAAATGCGAGTTAGAACAGAGCGCGACTATGTAATTATTGTTTTGAGGAATTCGTTGCAAAGGAAACATTGTTTAAATACTGTTTAAAAATATATATATATCTATATGTAATAGATTTTGTACTTACAGTTAGATAAAAGTGATAATCTCTCTCTTTTATTGCTGGGAAAATCCACGTTTCGAGTGTAAATAATAAAAAAAATTTCAACAATTTTTCAAAAGCCCGTATCTTTGTTAAAAATGAGCTCCAAAGCCATTTTACAGAGGCTTTGATTATAGGAAACAATACCAGTTTTCAATAAAGACCCTTATCGATTCAGCTACTTTGAGACACCGGTTGATTTTTGATTTTGATTCGTTCATGAGTTGCTATAAAATTACATGGGAAAAATGAGAAGAAAATTACTTTATTATTTAAAGCACTCAGTAAGTAGGTTTCGATACAGAAGAGCGAGTCGAAGGAATTTATGGTGACGATTAAAATTATTATTGTATTAAAATCGTTGCACAAACATCTAAAGGGTCGTGCATTTCAAAGTCTGTTCCGCATGAACGCAATGAAAGGGGCCTAAAATGTCTAGATGATCTTAAAGAGATGATAAGGTTAAGCTCTCTAAGTAGGAATGGGCTATTGATAACACCTCTTACTACCACTATGGAATGTAAGCAGATCTAGGAGTCGATAAGGACTTTTGTAATAAGGTAGGTTCTTATTCGTTTCCCAGTTTTGATTTCTTAACGAGAATTGCTTTTGTACAGATTCTAATTTATCACTATACAATTTACAGTGCGGACTCCATACAAGTGAGCCATATTCCGTAATGTAACAAATGAAGTAATGGTCTAACAAGTGAGATAAAGAGTAACGGTAATGTATGGGTCATTGAACTCCCTAGCCCAACGTTTAATGAAAGTTAAAATGCCTTTTGCCTCATTAGCTTTGGATCCATTGTGACACCCAAATCAATGAAGTCAGTTCATAACTGTTATTATGTATCATATAGGCAAAGGATTAACAAGATTTACTGAAGAAACACATATACATACAGTTATTTAAATTTATTATCATACAGGTGCTAAACAAAAAATTAAAGAAGTCACACGATAGTGAATCACCCTGTCTGAAGCTTCGCTTGGTTTCCAAGAGCTCGGAAAGGTCCTTACCCATTCTGATGGAGATTTTATTGTTGCTTAAGGCCAGTTTACATAGCCGTATAAGTTTTGCGAAGATATCAAATTCAGACATAGCGGCGTAGAGGCAGCTCCTTTTCGTGCTGTCGTAGGCTGCTTCAAAACCGACGAAGACTGATATATATTTTTTTTAAAAAAAAAAAAAAAAAAAAAATTAAGATATTTATTTATACTATTTTCGTTCATTCATAAAGAACCGGAAACAGTTTTTTATTCCTTTAGTATTGCTATAACTACAAATTCCTCAACCTGTCTTTCGTCATAACAATCGAAGCTTATCTTGCCCACCGCAAATTTATATAATATCCGTATATTCCGTATATTCCGTCTATGGAAGTCAGTAGTGCGTAGCATAACAGCATTGCTATCTATAAGAATTTAAGTTTATTATATGTGCGATTTAGTAGAAAACAAACAAGGCTACTTAGGCGCTCAGATAGCGAAAAGGCGTCATTAGTAAATAAAATAAAATTGTAAAAATTATCTTTACTATTTCTTAAGCATTTTTTTTTTTTTTTTTTTTCATTTTGAAAAGCTTCCCATTAAAAAGCTTTCAAGAATGTGATCTAAAGAGGAAATTGAAGGTAAATATTTTGAATGGACCTTTGGAAGAACACCTTATGCAGCAACTACCCAACTCACGTACCTGCAACCTATAGCAACCTATCTTATGAGAGCGCTATGTAAGCACAAAGTTGTCACCGCTTGCCCATGCCGTTAGTGACGGTTGTCCCGTCCGTAAAACCGGCTCGGCTCATTTCTCGTATCTATAGAAGGTTGCCAGTAAAGTCTTTCCTAAAGTAATATTAAATAATCGAAGATAATGCGTAGTTTTTTTTTCAAAAGAAATGAAAACTAAATTCGGAACTAATTATTTGTGACCATATAGGTCATTTATATTTGATTTGCATTTATATTCGAACACATAAATTATGAAAATTTTTAACGAAAATTATATATTTGTTCAGAGATGTGTAAGCACACTGGCAGCTGGCAACGTTTCGCCGCTCTCAGCTACGTCAACCATTGTGTATGTATCTTGCTCTTGACGTCGCCTGTTATGGACGGTTGGTAAGTAAAATGGGTAGTTGTAACATTAGGCCCGAGATAAAAATGCTGCTAGAAGAAGAAAAATTCAAAAGTTAGTGAATATAGCGAAAGATATAAAAAAGAAATAATTAAAAACAAATAAAAATAATTAAAAACAATTTTATTAATCAATATTTCATAACTATTTGCAGCACTAAAAGAGACGGTCTTCCTGCGTATCTATCTATATATATCTAGATAGTAGAATTCCAGAAGATAAAACCCTGCGCTGCAGCTCTTTTAATGGAAATGCCAATTTTATCAGTTAATTAAAAAAATATTCAAAACAAAAAATCTAATTTATCAACTAAAATGCTTATAAAACCAACCGCCCCATAGACGATGCAGTTATTTACTCTAATTCAGTTTGAAGAGACGATTGAAAACGAATAACTGTTGTAAAAGTGAGCAAAATCGAAATGAAGTTGCTGTTTCTGGGAATATTTTTGGCACTTAGTGCAGTCAATGCAGGACCTCTGACCAATCCTTGTAAGGAAGTTGGTTTACACGCACTCACTGATAATTCAGCAGAATTTTACGCCTGCGAGCTCAATGAAGAGGGCGATTTTGAAATTAAATATTTCAAATGTGACAATGAACAAGTTTTCAACCGTTACGCCGGCTCGTGTATTCAGACAAGGGCTTTCGATATCGAAGCAAGAGCTACCAGCTCAGGTGGCAATGACGATGAAGAAAATCCTACAATTCCAACAACTGAGGCAACTGATACAACTTCTACAACGAAAAGTGATATTGTGAGTCCTACCGTTCCGACTAGTAAGCCCACCGGCAGCACGGATAGTGGCGACGATACCACTGAGAACCAAGAAACAACGGTTGATCCTGCAAGTACAGAAGAGCCCGGAACCACGGTTGATCCTGCAACTACAGAAGAGCCCGGAACAACGGCTGATGCTGAAACTACAGAAGAACCCGAAACAACGGCTGAACCTGTTACCACAAAAGAGCCAGAAACAACTGCTGATGCTGAAACTACAGAAGATCCCGAAACTACGGCTGAACCTGTCACCACAAAAGAACCAGAAACGACGGCTGATGCTGAAACTACAGAAGAGCCCGAAACAACAGCTGAACCCGTCACCACAAAAGAACCAGAAACAACAGCTGATGCTGAAACTACAGAAGAACCCGGAACAACGGCTGAACCTGTCACCACAAAAGAGCCAGAAACAACGGCTGATGCTGAAACTACAGAAGAGCCAGAAACAACGGCTGAGCCTGTTACCACAAAAGAGCCAGAAACAACTGCTGATGCTGAAACTACAGAAGAGCCCGAAACAACGGCTGAACCTGTAACCACAGAAGAGCCAGAAACAACGACTGATGCTGAAACTACAGAAGAGCCCGAAACAACGGCTGAACCTGTGACCACAAAAGAGCCAGAAACGACGGCTGATGCTGAAACTACAGAAGAGCCCGAAACAACAGCTGAACCCGTCACCACAAAAGAACCAGAAACAACGACTGATGCTGAAACTACAGAAGAGCCCGACACCACGGCTGAACCTGCAACCACAGAAGAGCCAGAAACAACGACAGATGCTGAAACTACAGAAATAACAGAAACAACGACTGATGCTACTTCAACAGAAACAGAAACAACCGATACGCCATCAAATTCGACAACTGACACAACAGAATCAACGGTTGAGCCTGCTACATCGGATAGTACAGAATCAACATCTACTGTTGAGCCGACTTCAACCACTGAAGAGCCATTCGATTGTCCTGATACGGGTTTCTTCCCACTAACAAACTCTTGCAACAAATTCGCTTACTGCGCCAGTGTTAATAATAGTATAGTATACGTATTGACGACCTGCCCCGAGGGTCAGCAATTCAATTACTGTAATAATTACTGCGATAAAAATTTCGATTGCAACGCTGATGTGGATTGCTAAGCATCTCGATGGAAACGCTGGTTGAAGTCAGTCAAAAAAGACTTTAGTTCTTTTCACTATAAAGTTGTGGTTCGTGTAATAAAAAGAGTATTTAAATAAATTTATTGAATTTTTTATATATTTATTATTTTATATATAAATAATTATTATTATTTTTTCTACAAACATTTTTCATTGACATAAATGGTTCTTCTAATTGGTTTAGACACTTAACGGTGATAAGAAATATTCTGAGAATTCAGCGTAAAAATAAATTTCTGTTCTTAGCAACCTGAAACCGTCAGAGGCAGTTTAAAAAGATAAGAGGTTTATCTAATGATTTGCGAGGTTATTGTTTTCAAAAAGTCATACATAATTAGCATATGTTCATATGTATGTATGTATATACTTCTTCTCCACCAAATAACGAGTCTCCAACGCTGCATTTCTTTTAATGAACTTCTAATCTTTCACTCATAACAAAATTGATTAAACAATACCGATAAAGCCTAATTAAAAAGTATAAAATAATTAATAATTTTTTATGGCTTGAAAAGCAAAAAAAAGTTAAATTAGTCACTTGTGTTAAATGTTGGAAGTACTGAATACTGTATACGTCGAATAAACTGATGTTTTGAATAATCTATTAAATTGAGTTATGCTCCCTTTACGACTCAAGTAGTGGTAGAGTCATGTCTGACTCTGCGGTCTTCATATCGAAAATCTTTGGTGGACTTTTCTTTACTGGAATGAAATTTGCTTCCAATAAGGATCAATTCCAAGTTTATTTGAATTTCTCGCTGCAAACAGTATGCACTTTTCCAGTCACTGAATCGAATAAAGCGTTTCAATCTCAGCGGGATCTCGCCATGAATCATAAAGTCTCAGAACATAATGTGGGCGATTATGTTTAAAAAAGTTTGTGGAGGCGAGTAAACAGGAACAAAGTAGCACTACTCTCTCAAAGTTGCCTTGGAAGCTAAGAAACCATTGCAATGAGCTTAAACTACACCTCAAAATTTTCGAATCAGAATTAAGTAAAAAGCGCAGAGGAAGTATTTTTCAATATATCGTTTTCAAGAAGAATTAAATCGCATATAGTTCAATATTATTGCAAAGAATTTAACTTTCTCATAAAGATAAAGGTTTGCCATTATGTTTTTAAAAAGATTTCGGGCAAGTAACAGCCGCCACAGCCTGTTTGAATAAATTCCAGCCGAGAGCACCAATTTTCAGCTATTTTTTTTCACCAAAGGTGCCGTATATCAGCAATGAAGCGTCGAATATTCTCTTCCCAGGTGTGAATAATTTTGAGCTCATCTGCGTAGCAAAGCGACTTCATATAAACCCACCCCACCGGCGGTGTTAAATTGCATAATTTTGGAAGCAACCTCACAGGCTTACGACGTTAGGTAATGCAGTAAATTGATTGTTCCGTTGGATGAATGGCATATAGCGCCATCTTGCTGGAACCAGAGGTCTTCCACATCAACGTCCTTCCATTTAGATACGAAAAACTCATTAAACATCGATCTATACCGAGCGTTCCCCAATGATCCCCTCCATCAAAAGAGCAAAAAAAAAAAACAGTGACTTTTTGAGGATATAGCGGCGTCTCTAACGTAAACATTCAACCAAAAGTGAGCTTCATCACTGCAAAAAAAATTTCTTGTGAAAAGCAGAATCGTTGGCCAACTCGTTCTGGGCCCACTCAACGAACGTGCGACGCCCCTGACGGTCATTCGGTTTCAATTCTTACACGAATTGCATTCTATAAGCCAACAAACCAAGTTCCTTGCACAAACATTTCCACAAAGTGAAAGGACACAGATCATTGTGTGTTGCATACGATATCGCATGAGCTCATTCGAGTCTTCTGCGATCTGTTGCTCCACAGTAGCAATAGCGTGTTCAGTGTGCACTGCCCGGCGTCTCTGAGGATGCACATTTTTCCTTAGAGCGGTTGCTCAAATTACTGGTTCTGCTGGGCGATGCGACTCACGAACTAATCCATTATTTTGGGAATAAATTTGTACGATTCGCAAACACTGTTCCGGTGTAAGAACCTCCTGCAATAAAAACTTGCCGAAGAGAAAGAATAAAAATTCACTTATTCGTATATAGACAATCTTTGTGGGTATTAATTATTTAATTCATATACATATATATATGTACATATAATTGGCGATTCGTACCCGCTGAAGCGAGATTCCGCCGATCTCCTCCTCCAATTTGTGGTTTTGCGTCTTGATGTTTTTCCAACAAAATGGAGGGACCTAAAGTTTATACTAAACCGCCTCCGATCGGCTGATGGTTTTTTTATGAGGAACTTTTATTTCATGTCAGAAATACACAGGGAGGGTTTGGCATTACCTGGCGAGGGGCCTGCTGCCACTGTCAGTTATTTATAGATACGTGAATATTTAGCTTTAAACAAACCGTCAAATCAACTGCAGGTATTGAGTCCAATTCGTGATGGGTCTCTAATCTGAAGTACATACTTTAAGGTTGTTTGACATTTAAATGGAATTTCAACCATTGAGAAATCCGATTCATCAATCAATTACATCATGTTGATATTCTTCTAGACATTTGAGTGCAATGTACTACATTATTTCATAATAACGGTGAGAGTCAACTACACACATATGTAAATAAAATATAAAAGACAGTAATTTTGGTAATTTTGGTAATTTTTTCTCTTATAAATAATTTTGTTTAGTCTTATATTTGTGTAACATAAAGAACTTAGATTAATTAAATATGCCATTTTATTATACAAATTAAATGTAAATAGACTCATACATGGATACATATTATATATACAGAGGATGGAGAGATCACACACGTCGCTTTAGCTTAGTGCCGTCCAAAGTATTTAGAATTATTTGGTCGTAGGAAACAAGTGAGTCGACGTTCGCGTCCACAGGCACCCGTCTCTAGGCGGAAGACCTCATCCTCCGAACACACACTGGGTATTTGCACAAAGACACGACGTTTCTTATCCCAATCACACGTATAGTATTTGTTACAATCGGACTTGTGCGCGAAGGTGCCCTCCACCAAGCAGGTGAATGACTTACGGTGCTCGACTACAGGTAAGTCTTCTTCACTTTCGCTACTTTCATCGCAATCGAAGTCGGGATCACAATAGAGTGAGTTCTTATTGAACTTTTGTCCGCGCGGACACTTCAGATCATATTTCTTCACCTTACCGAAATTCTTGGCACAATAGGTGAATCTATTACAAGCATGTTTGCTGGCAAAGAAACCTTCGTAAGGGCATGCGAATTCTTGAGAAGGCTTTGATGTGCTCGTTGTTGATTTATCGGTAGTCGATGATGACTCAGTAGTGGAAGTTGGTGCATCTGTGCTGCTTGGTGGCAGTGCAGACGTTTGCGGCGCTTCAGTGCTCTCGGTGCTTACGGGTTTTTCTGTTGCAGCAGTCGTCACTTGTTCGGTTGTGATAACGGGTGATTCACTGGTTGTTGGCTTACTTGGTTCAGGATCGACTGTGGGCCCATCTGTATTAATTTCAGTGGAAACTTCGGGCTGACCGGATGTTTCCGCAACTGGAGTAGTACTTGATTCGGGAGCTGTAGTAGGTACTGTTGGATTGGTCCTAGTATCATCTATCTCACCTGTTACAGTGCTAGCTTCTGTCCCAGCACTACTTTCTGTGACTTCTGTTTCAGCTGTCTCAGTTGTTGACTCACCCTCTGGCGACGGAGTAGAGCTTACTTCGGGCACCTCTGGTTGAGTGCTCCTTTCTGTGGTATCCGTTTCAGTAATTTCAGTTGCATCAGTCTCAGTTACTTCTGATGATTGAGTAGTGCTCTCTTCGGTGACATCTGTTTGAGTGCTAGTATCTGGTGCATCAGTATCCGACGTCGCGGTTCCATCAGTGCTACTTGAACCTTCCGTTGTACTGTCTTCCTCTGTTGTATCTGTGACTGCTGGTTCTTCTGTGGAAGCTGATGCTTCAGTTGTACTAATCTCTTCGGGTTCTTCAGTTGTGCTGTCTTCCTCTGTTGTATCTGTCACTGCTGGTTCTTCTGTGGAAACTGATGCTTCAGTTGTACTTATCTCTTCGGGTTCTTCAGTTGTGCTGTCTTCCTCTGTTGTATCTGTCACTTCTGGTTCTTCTGTGGAAACTGATGCTTCAGTTGTACTAATCTCTTCGGGTTCTTCAGTTGTGCTGTCTTCCTCTGTTGTATCTGTCACTGCTGGTTCTTCTGTGGAAACTGATGCTTCAGTTGTACTAATCTCTTCGGGTCCTTCAGTTGTGCTGTCTTCCTCTGTTGTATCTGTGACTGCTGGTTCTTCTGTGGAAACTGATGCCTCAGTTGTACTAATCTCTTCGGGTCCTTCAGTGCTACCGGAACCTTCCGTTGTGCTGTCTTCCTCTGTTGTATCTGTGACAGCTGGTTCTTCTGTGGAAACTGATGCTTCAGTTGTACTAATCTCTTCGGGTCCTTCAGTGCTGCCGGAAGCTTCCGTTGTGCTGTCTTCCGCTGTTGTATCTGTGACTGCTGGTTCTTCTGTGGAAACCGATGCTTCAGTTGTACTAATCTCTTCGGGTCCTTCAGTTGTGCTGTCTTCCTCTGTTGTATCTGTTTCTTCTGTGGAAACTGATGCTTCAGTTGTACTAATCTCTTCGGGTTCTTCAGTTGTGCTGTCTTCCTCTGTTGTATCTGTCACTGCTGGTTCTTCTGTGGAAACTGATGCATCAGTTGTACTAATCTCTTCGGATTCTTCAGTTGTGCTGTCTTCCTCTGTTGTATCCGTCACTGCTGGTTCTTCTGTGGAAACTGATGCTTCAGTTGTACTAATCTCTTCGGGTCCTTCAGTTGTGCTGTCTTCCTCTGTTGTATCTGTGACTGCTGGTTCTTCTGTGGAAACTGATGCTTCAGTTGTACTAATCTCTTCGGGTCCTTCAGTTGTGCTGTCTTCCTCTGTTGTATCTGTGACTGCTGGTTCTTCTGTGGAAACTGATGCTTCAGTTGTACTTATCTCTTCGGGTCCTTCAGTGCTACCTGAACCTTCCGTTGTGCTGTCTTCCTCTGTTGTATCTGTGACTGCTGGTTCTTCTGTGGAAACTGATGCTTCAGTTGTACTAATCTGTTCGGGTCCTTCAGTGCTGCTTGAAGCTTCTGTTGTGCTACCAACGGTTGGGGTGACTATTGGTTCTTGTGTAGAAGCAGGTGTGGTAGTTGTTTCCTGTGCCTGTGTGCTCTCAACTGTAGTACTCTCACTGGGCGCCTCACTACTGCTTGTTGTTGTTGAAGATGCTGGTGTCTGTGTACTGGAACTTTCATCGGTTGTGGACTCAGGTTGCGGGCTATCAGTAGTAACACTTTCTGTCGTAGTTGTTGGGCTGCTACTTATTGCACTAGTACTAGTAGCTGGGGTAGAAGTGCTTGTCGGTGCCGCTGTACTATTCACCGAATCGGCTGGTATACAAGTGCCGGCGTTTTGATTGAACACATAACCATTTGAGCAGGAGAGGTATTTGATCGTGTAAGTGCCGTCTTCATTCAAGTAGCAACCATAGAATGTGGGCATATTATCGACGAAAGCGTAGAAACCTGGTTGCTTGCAGGTGTTTTTAACTACGCCCGCCTGGGCCACCGCGACGTAGGCGGCAATTAGACCGAAGAAAAGTAATTTCATTTCGTTTAATAATTTTTTGCGATTTCAATTTTGAAAAATTTGTTTGTTTTTGTATTCAATTTTTATTTTTCTATTTATTTTTTTTTTTACTGAATTTCTTCAGTAGTAAAATTCGTTAATTCTTGTTTCTATTCACCGAGGGTTTTTAGAACCGTCGCGTTCGATCGTTAAAAGGTAAGTAACTGAGGACTGGAGTGTGTACGCAGCTTTTATATGAAGTGAGTGAAGTACCCAACGTTTAGCAAATCAAAATATTGTGATTACAACTCATTAACTGATAAAGCGTTTCATGATAAACGCGTCTACAAGATACCTGTATGTATTATAGCGTGTACTATGCCTTTATTCTTTCATGCAGGGTAGTTCATTTTGCGTTTTCGAAAACAAATATAAATAAAATGAATTTAAAATATTTTTTCAGAAAGTTTCTTTTATATTAAAGTCCGAGTCTCGTCATTAATTATGAAATACTAAAACATTCAAATGACCACCTCGTGAAGTTTCGGGAACTTCGATTAATTTTCGGCCGCTTTTTGCCGCATATTGGGCGGTATCTCAGCCATAACTTGAAAGTCAACATCAAGCGCTTAAGTGTATAACGCATAAGTCCAACAGTGTCAAATTCTATAATCTCTCGGCTGGGATATCGCATCCGGAAAACTGTTCTCACAATAAAGCCAGTGATATGTGGCATGTGGCACCATCTCGTGCAACCACATATTGTCTCAAAAGTCGTGTTCTTCAATTGCAGACAAAAAAAAAGTCAGAAGTGACAATCTCGCCGTTGTCCTTTCCAAAAGAGTAAGTTCCAATCACAGCTTCGAACCAAAAGGCGCATCAGACAGTAAAATTTTTTTTTTTCAATTTTTTGAAGATTCTCAGAAACCCAAATGGTTGGAAATCTGCCTCGCCCCTGATGGAAATTTTTGTTCGAAAAATCGTTGTGCACTGCTTGCTGTTCTAGCACCCAATCCATGTATGTACGGCGCTGTGAATAGTCAGTTGTTTTGTGGATGTCGGCGTAAGTCCAAGTCCCAGCTCTCCGGCCACACTTTCTTCTAAAGTATCGATATTTGAGGGAGAACTCGCAAAATGATGTTGCACAAGTCATACAATATCTTTGTAACCAAACCAGAGTCTTCAAATTTCTTCTTCTTTAAAATCTTACTCATTTCTGGAGAAGTTAACCGATTATGAGCATCTTAATCTGCTCTTAAAGCACCAAACATGGCCGCCTTTGGATACCATCATGAATGCCTGACTTTTGCCTAAAACAAAACATGTTTAGTTTGACACTTAAGTTGCACAAATCTCAAAATACCAGCACTGAAACCACGAAATGTATAACCCTATACTTACATACCCTTCTACCCTACCTGTCTCATGCGAAATTCAAAATCAGCTAAAATGTATACGCCGAGTGTGTGGCAAAAAAATTCCAAAGCAAATAAAAAGTTCAAGCGTTTTTAATTGCAAATGTTCAAAAAGAAAGAAAACGTCACTCTCTTTCGCTCTTCCGCACGCGCTGTGCGAAAGAAAAGGAAGTAATGGAGCTCGCGAGCATATTTCCAAATTATTTCCTTTACGCCTCAAGATTAAACCTTGATTAGCTGCTTGATTACGGTATATTTATTTATTTTTATTTTGTTTCGTTTTTTTTTTTTTTATTTGTTAACAACACATTTACATATATAAATTAATCAACTACGCACATATTTTGTGTAGCAGAAAAATGTTGCCCTTCCGTACATTTCATGCCAACTGCTTTAAATTTACCCTTCTTCTGTCCCGTGCAAATGAAGTAATCGTAAACGCTTTCCGCCGCCGCCACGTAACTTCCGTCTTGCGTGCAAACGAAGTTGGACCGCTCAGCCACGTCCAGCGATATGCCTTGCAGCTTCGCCTGCTCTTTAGCCTCCTTAGCCGCTTTTTTCAAGAGCTCTTTCTCATATTTCTTTTGTATTTTCTCACGCAATTTAGCCGCCTTAAGTTTAGCTTTCTCTTCGGCTCTCAGCACTTTGACCTCTTCGCGCACACACTCTTCATCGGGTGATTTACTCATATACAATTCATAATTCAATGATAAATTCTGCAAATTTGTCATATCCACAAAGCATTTACCTAATTCGGGCGTATAGATTTGCCCACTGCCGCATTGTATGTGATAAATGTGTTGGACGGTACTTAGACGTGATGCCACGCACCAGTAATATGAGGTATTATCACTTGGATCTGCGTATGTGCCTTCTAGTTCACAGCGAAAGTTGTCCGTGCAGGGTGAGAGATCGCGTGAGCAACGCTGTAGTTCGGGATCGTAAGCTTGGCTGGTTGGGCAGCTCGTCTGCGTGCGCTGTAGTTCACCTGTGGCTGCGTGTGTGCACGTAATGTAAGCGCGACAATCATTTTCCACGGCATGCCTACCTGGTGTGGTGCAAAGCGAAGCGGTTGTGGGCTCGGCACTCGCTGTTACTGTTTCGTCACTGTTTGTTTCTGGGGTTTCTGTTATAATATCCTGGTTCTCCGCTATAATTTTTGGCATCTCTGTCACAGATTCGTCGTTGCTTATAGTCGTCACTTCGGTGGTAGTTTCTTCTGCAGCACTTGTGGTATCCTCATTCGCTGGCACGTCCTTTACTTCTTCTCCTTCAATTGCTAAAGTCTTTGTGCTTAAAAGCTCATTTTCAAACAATATAAAGTTTGGCTGTTTCTCTTTGTTTGCGGGCGGGAGCTCCGTCTGTTCCACAGATTTAACGATCTGCGTTATTTCTAATTCACTTCTGCTGGGAGCATCCGCTTCGGACACAGGAATTTTTAAGTGTGAAACTGTAGTGTTCAATAAATCCATGTCAGTTGTGGTGTCTTTAGACTGTGCAACAACATCGCCTTCAATTTCAATTGCAACCTTTTCTAGTGTCAAACTGTTTCCAACAACTGCGTCTGTGAGTTCTTCGTTAATCTTTTCAAAAACCTGAAGTTCACGCTCGCTCTCAGCGCGTTCAACTTGCTTTCGCAGAAAAGCTGCTTCATTTACAAGCACATCAGACTGTCGGTTTTCTTCTTCGTTTCTGTTGTGCGTTTCGTCCTGCTCAATTGTCATTTTCGTGTCTGTAGTTACTTGGACATCCATTCTCTCTTCTCTAACTTCACTTGGGTAGTCTTTGGGCACCGAAACTACTGAATTATCTAAATTCTGCGGTTCAACCCTGACTCGGCTACTCGCCTGAGAGAGAGCTACTTTTACAGCGTCGACATTGCTTTCGAGCTTATTCTGTTCTTGTTCTAAGTTAGAAAATATTTTCTTTTTTGAATCATTGCCGTTCTTCTCAACAAGCTCCGCCACGTTGCCAGTTACTGACCTCGTTGTAGTTTCGGTAGTTTCTAGCACAAAAGTTACGACTTCATTGGCCCTCTCACTGGCGCATTCAATATCACTCCAATTGTTTTCTTCACCTCGAGGTATCTCCGTTGCGTTTTCCTCAATCAATGGCTCCCCCGAAATATTTGAAACTGGAACTATTTGAAGCAAAACAGAAAATTATATGAAAATTTAAAATTTATACAAAACAACACGAAACAATGAGTAGATAGTTACGCTCAGCACTCTTCTTCTCAAGAATCGATGCCTCATCATTTGGCCACGGATCCTGCGCCTCTGTTCTTTGTGTTAATAACTGTAATGTATACTCAATATTTCAAAAATTTGCAATCTTTTTAAATAATATTCAGTATTTGAAACGCACCAATAGACAACTGCACAATATTAATAATACCGTTATCTTAACCTTCATATTATCGGTACTGTAATTAGCGGATGCTGCGATTCGTCTTAACAGTTAGTTAGTTACTGTTAGAGATAACTGCATTGCGGCGGCAATTTATACATACGTAAATCTAGTAGGTTAGGGTGGGGTCAGACTACGCCTCGAAATTAATTATGTGCTTTGAAAGTAGTTTCTTATTTTTATATCAAAATGCTCTGTAGAGGATGGAGTTCTCGAAGGCCTAACTATGAACTATTTTAGCTCATTTAGACTAGGTTAGGAGCTCTAAGTGATCAGCCGCAGGAAGATATTGTACACTAAGTAGGTAAAAACAAACTCAAGGACTTATAAGGAATTTAAATCTTAAGCATAGAGAGGCCAAGCTTCGTAAGACTTTCACTGCAAACTGAGCCATTTATCTGTGCAGTTGAAAGAAAGGCAAAATTTCTTAATATTATATATACTCACGTGCTTACCAATCCAACTTTAATTTTTGGTAAATCCCGAAAAATAAATACTGGTCTCTGATTAAAATAGACGTACGTACTTCCAAGCGGAATCTAGATCTTAGGCAGCCTCTCCAGCTTCCAAATTATTGCAGTATTTCCCAAAGGCAGAGGTCTTCGTGGTAAGGAAGATGCTGAGCATCCTAATACGGCAGGAATTAACCGAAAGCATATACGTTGATAACCATAAAATTATCTCAGAAACAGTTCGACAGTAAGGAAAATAACTGCAGAAAAACAGCTGTATGAGTTCCAGACTACAACATCATTATGGAGAACGAAATATTTGATACGGTCAAGCCAGTACATGAGATATGATAAACGAAAGACTCTGTGCAATGGAATTCTCGAGAGAACTGGTAGACGTGTCATGGAGGAAAGCAAAGCATACATACATTTTGCTCATGTGGTGAGTGAATGAGTGAAAATTGGAACACTTGCTCTGTTTCTGGCCGACCTTATGTAGAACTCGTGTTAAACAACTTCAGCTTCGCAGTTCACAGAACAAGAGTAAGTTTCAAAATAAAAAAGCGCGCAACAGTTCGCCAATATAACCTTTAATTTACCTATAATAACCTATAATATAACCTGACCTAACCTATAAAATAACATAATTCAATGTCGGCAGCGATAATCGAGTTGTTAGCATTTTGTACTTTTATTCGGATGAGCGGTGCTCGAAATTAGAAATTTAATTTAAATAAAAAAAAATTAAGTTAAATAATTTTCGGGCATGAAATAAAGGATCTCATAAATAACCCTAAGCCGTTCAGAGGCGGCTTTACTATAAACTGTAAGCCCCTGCATTTAATGGAAAAACATCGAGATGCAACCCCACAAATTAGAGGAGGGGCACGGCCGAAAAACACTTCAGCCGTTGCAAATCGCCAAACATATAAATCGAGTACATATATTAATCTGAGTGGCAATTGAGAGAGTAAGTGAGAACAAAGTAGAAACAACCATTAAGCATGTTTCTTGTTTCCAGGTCAAAAAACATAAAACAATACATTCTTGTTGTGATTATTGGAAGCTCCGGAAGCTTTTGTAGAAGAGAGACCTTTCTTGTTGTGTTCGGCGAATAATACTACAAAAAAGTTTGGCGAAACTTTGTAAAGAACTCGGTCTAACTCAAAGCACTAGGTTTAGTTTTTAGAAAAGTGAGTATACTTTAATATTTTACAGTATTACGGTTGTCTTTTCTTCCCCATTCAGCGCCAATTGGATACAGCAATTAAAACCACGTATCTCTCCAACTAATATTTCCAATGGCATTGAGGTCTTTACTTTTCTCCTGTTGGCTAAAATGTACTCGATTTCTACTCTTGCCTCCTCACATCGTACCCTGGAAGCGTGAGCAACCACCTGTTCGGAGCTTTCGGATAACAGAGAGAGGGAACAACTGTATACCACAGGGCGAGAGGGCATTTGCTACACAAATGTGTCCACATATTCTAACACAGAGAAGGTAAGTATTGTAATGAAAACTTGGTAGTCAATAATTTTTGGTAGAGTTGGAGAAACACATAAGTAAATGACACTACAATTTGAAAGCCGAAATTAATATAATGAATTTGAAATTACATATTTTTGCAGAATAAAAAACTTGATGGCTCCCTAAAATATCTAAACATGAACCTAGCGGGGTATAAAAGAAACACTCTAAAATATATACCATATATATACGTATGCATAGAAGTGCATTATCATCGCTTATTATCTTCGGTAAATATCGAAACTATGTCAACGCATTGGCCAAACGCATTTCGATATTTGTGAATGGAATTTTTTTGTTTGTTTTTTTTTCGCCACATCCAACACAGAATTCGTGGTGTTTATCCCTGTTATTGACATAATGCGTTTACTTAGGTTTAAGTATATGATATTTATATATGTATGTACATAAATACGTTTTCATGGCGTAAACAACTACTGTATTTGTTACTATTATTTGCAATTATACAATTTCGTAGCAGTTTTTTTTTTACTTGAGAATTTTTATTTAAACTCATTTTCATTTTGCATATGCTCCAAAGTTGTTATTCGCTTAGTTTGTTATTGAAAGGAATTTTTATAATTTATTTACTTGGAAGATGTGTAAATTGCGTTTATGTCGACAAGAAGTAGTGTAGTTCGTTCGGTGAATCATTTAGGTGTAAACAGCACAGAATATCAAAGAATATCTTTTTAATTTTTTTTATTTTACTTTTATTTATTTTATGTAATTTTATATTATTTTAATTTATTTATATTATTTTCATTTCATTTATTTTAATTTTTTAATTTTATTTGACTTTATTTGTAATTAATTTTATTTTATTTTTTTTATGTTATTTTACTTTATGTAATTTTATATTATATTGATTCATTTATATTAGTTTCATTTCTCTTAATTTTATTTTTTTTAATTTTATTTGACTTTATTTTTAATTAATTTAATTTTATTTTTTTTTTATGTCATTTCATTTGAGCTTATTTGTAATTTATTTTTTTTTATGTAATTTTATATTATATTGATTCATTTATATTAGTTTCATTTGATTTTATTTAATTTATATTAATTTATTTATTTATCATTATTATTATTTTAGTTTATTTTATTTTACTTGACAACCTAAATTAGTTTTATTTTATTTTAATTAATTTTACATTATTTTAATTTCTATATATTATTTTCATTTCATTTCATTTTATTATCTTTTTATATTTTATGTTATTTTATTTCTATTGAATTTATTTTATTTTATTTTAGTTAATTTTATTATATATTAATTAATTAATTATTAATATTATTATATATTTTGGCTGTGGTAGACGAGTGGTTAGCATTGTGTTTCACAAATTTTTGTGAAATATCTTCATATAACAAATTATTAAATAAATATGAAAGTTAACTCGGCTAGCAATTTTAATTTCACTGGAAATTTTTGCATTGATTTACCCATAGATTTTTGACATTTTTTTATTGCAAAAGTAAATGCATAACCTTCGCTGTGCTTAAATTTATAAAAAAAAGTAGACTTGCAGCACTTTCATTTCTAACAATTCATATTTGCAAATTTCTTTAATTGGCAGTTCCCAGAAAACCATTCCTCAATTGATAATAATTTCCGGTTGAAGTAAACATTACCAAAATAATACCTCACAATCTTTTGAATCAGAACGAATTTGATAAAAAAAAAAACGAAATATTTGTTTTCACATTATTCAAATTGTACAATCATTTATAAGTAAATAATATGCCAATCAACAATTTTATTATCTTTTGCCAATTTTAATCTATTTATACATATGTGTATATCTTTATATGTTTTTATTGGCCATGAAATTTATATATGAGTACGTATTTGCATATATAAATAGGTTGCGCCAAATATGTTTGAAGACGCTAACGCACTTGTTACTTGAATGACATTGCATAATCAACTTTGTAAGTGAAAAAATTAACTTAATGGTTTCGGTGACCCCATAGATGCGAAGCAATGTAAAAAGAAATATTGATCTATTTTTTTATTCAACTATATTTTATTTCATTTTATTGTCTTACATTTTATTTTATTTTATTTTATTTTATTTTATTTTATTTTATATTAATTTATTTTATTTTATATTATTTCATTTTTTTATTATAATATATTTCATTGGATTTCATTTTCATAATTCTTACTTTGTGTTTATATAATTTTTTTGTACTCTTCTTATTTATTTATTAAATTTGTAATCAGATTATTTTTAAGCTTTATAAATGTGAACATTCCTTATGATTTCTTGCGACTGTCCTTATGGGCATGCTTATATAAACAAAGTACATACATGTGTAACCCAAAATGTTGCCAGAAAAAAGTTCAGGGGAATGGAATACATTCACATCAAAGAAAATAAATCCACTCCTACATAAGTAAAAGCTTATATATTTTGTAATCTTATCATTAAAACGTGCCATGACTTGAGCAAGATATTATACATTACAGTATTGCTCTGGCTTCACAAACGTTCTTTAAACTTCAAAAACGAGAATTCTTAATCCCCCATTTCCCCATGAAAATTGCAACTAGATAAATAGTTTTGTAGAAATTACAGCCAACCATACGATATTTAATGTTCAAGTTTCTCAAAATTAAACTACTTATTCTTGATCCCGGCCACTGAAAAAACACAGCTGACCTCGGAAGCGCTTCTTAATTTGGTACATAGCATAATTAATATTACGCTCTCCACAAAAAAATATTTATAGTGTCTTATAGATTATAGGAGCTAATAGATTTTGTATTGCACGCCTATTAGTATCAGACGACCGAAAATCAAATTTTTTTCCGCATATTTTTAAGGCAAGTTTTCTGTCGTGGCTAATTACTAGATCACGCAGCTGGGTTTGGAATATTTAACGAAATATTTTCTCCCGGATATCTTCCATAGGATGAATTTTATCTTAACAGTCAAAGTATCCAGACCTCTAGCAAATATATTGGCTAGTTAGTCTGAATAGTTGTACATCTGCTGTACACTTCCAACTAAACATTTTTTATATTTTATTTCCACCTCAGTTCATATTGAACAACCCTATACACGATTTTATCCTCTACGTTTTTCTTATCTCATTCTGCTGACTTATTACTTACTACGTATTATCTATATGTATAATAGTATATTTTTATCTCACTTTGATTGACGTGATTGAAAATTATTCTTATCACCTGTTGGCAGAATACCACACTCGCATTGCTGCGTCACTTCCAAGGCAAAAAACGTTGCATACCTTTGTGCGTACGACAAGTATGGATGTGTGCGAGTGTAAGCATGCAATTATACAATACAATACGAAGAATAATAAAATCTTATTATTAAACCAAAAAAAAAAAAAATAATTAAAATTAAATAGAATAAAATTAAATAATATAAAATAACAGAAAGCAATTTAAATTAAATTACTCAAACACAATTAAATTAAATAAAATAAAGTTCAATCAAATAAGATAAAATAATACAAAATTGAATTAAATTATATAAAAATTAAAAAAATTAAATTTAAATGAAATGAAATAAAACAAGATAAAATTAAATTAAATAAAAGTAATTTAAATTAAATCAACTTAAATTAATTCAAATATAATAATAAAAGAATTAAATTATATGAAATCATATAACACAAAATAAATAAAACAAAGTAAAATAAAATAAAATAAAATAAAATAAAATAAAATAAAATGAAATACAATAAAATAAAATAAAATAAAATAAAATAAAATAAAATATAATAAAATAAAGTAAAAAAGATATTACAATTTGAAATGAAAATGAGACTAAATAAATGAAATCAATTGTTTAATTAAGTGAAATGAAGAAAGAAATAAAAATAAATAATGTAAAAGTTTTTAAATTATTATAAAATAAATTGAGATATTATAAAATTAAATAAATTGGCGGCCGCGGTAGCCGAGTGGTTAGCATTGTGTACTGCCATCAGGATCGATCAGTTTCAGATCCTCGTGTCGTACTAAAATCCATTAAAGTGATAGAAAATTAATTAAAGTAATTAAGTTAAATTTGCGGTCGCAACTTAGCAGGGAATGTCAAGTCCTCCGAGTGTATTTTTGACATGAAATAAAGCCCTTCATTAAAAAACAAACATCAGCCGTCCGTTGGCGGCTTAGTATCAACTGTAGGTAACTCCATTTGTTGGGAAAACATCAAGATGTAAACCCCATAAGTCGGAGGAGGAGCTTGGCCGTATTTTTATATATGTATATAATTTAAGATCAATAAAAACAAAACAAAATAACGAAAAGAAAAAAAATAATAATAAATTGTATTGAAATTAAATAATATAAAAGACATAATAAAAATTAAAATAAAACAAAATAAATAAAAACAAACAAAAAATACGAAGGTTATATAAAGTTATTAAATTTAACTCAAAGAAAATAAAATAAATTTAAATTAAGCAAAAATTAAAGAATTCAAATCGATTTGAAATAAAATAAAATGAAAAAATTATGAAATTAATTAATATAAAATATATTAAATTAAATTAAAACAAAATAAATTAAATCAAAATAAAATAAAACTAATGTACATAAGTTAAAGTAAAAAATAAAATTGAATTAATTGAAATAAAAACCAATTTAAATTCAAGTAAAAAAATTATAGAAAACATATAAAATTAATAGCAAAAAGTAAAACATGCATTTACACAAAAACAGTAAGAATGCAGCCACCGCTTCACTCTCGTCACTCTCTCATTATATTTACGTATGTGTGTGTGTGTGTTTATAAAAGAGCGATGGCGCATATGATCTTAAAAGATAAATTCCAACAGACCCTTACATACGTGCATGCTTCATACGAATGACTCTTTTAGTAGCAGCAACACGCCTTATTTATCAAAAGAACACAGCGTCTCGCTGGCGCAGTCGACGTCAACACTACGTCACAGCGTCATTACAAAGGGCTGCTTGCTGCTTGCTGCCTGCACGCTGCTGGTTACTCAATTATGCGGGCGGTCATCAGGCCAGCGCCTGTTTGCCTGTTCGTCTGTTGACTGTTCACTGTTATCTGAATATTGTTTTATGTGGGGGGTGTTGTAGATGGTGATGTTGATATCTACATATATATGTATATATGTATGTAAATCAACGCAACACATGCGATTGTGTGAATGTGTGTGGAGCAGCGGCTTTTTTTTGCTTGATGATTACGATGATAATTGTGGAGCAAAAACTGACTAAACTGACTGACTGAACTGGCGGTGAGTGAACGTTTTATACTCGTAATTTCAGTACGATAAGTGACATGATCAGCTGCAGTACTTGTGGATAAGAAGCAACAAATAAGTTGTCATTGTGCTCTTACTTGTTAAGACAGTTTTTGCCTTTATTTTTATTCTTTTGTTTTGTTTTGTTTGTTTGTTGGTTTTTAAACGCACTTAAACATACAAACGTACACCAAAGAACGCGCAGCCATACATACAGACATACATCCATACATATATACAACGTGTATGAAAATGAAACTTTATCCACATGTTAAGTGTTGTTGTTGCTGTCGAAGAAATTAAATTTTAATTTAAATATATACATACTAAGTGAATTAAATTCATATGTACATAGATACATACATACATACATACTACTTGCCTAATTAAAGTGATTAAGTGAAAATTGCCGCATGAAAAAATTCCCAAAAAAAAAAGTAGTAGAAAAAAGCCTATAAATAAAAAAAATATCTTCTATAAATTTAAAAATACATACATACCTACATACATACATACGTATTTATATACTACGTGCATGTGGAAACCGACATTGTTCGAGCAAATTTAGCCCGTCTGTCGCTGATGGAGTGAAAAGTGTTATGCTAATGTCGTCTATCTCTCAGAATACTAACTCTAACTAATCTTCGGTAGATATTTTCGTGCGATAAGAGCGTCTTTTATCAGCTTTTTATTTAAATGTTCGTCTATGTGCGTGCGTTTGTGATGACGAAAATTTGCGATGTTGACAATGTTTACAATGTGAGCTCCCGTTGCTGATGCTGCGACTGCTGCTGCTGTGCAAGCGCATTCACACACACACACGCACACACACACACACACACATACACCTACGCCTACTCTATACACACATAGAGAAAGAAAGAAAGGAAGAAATTTAATAAAAAAAAATAATGAACGCTAGGTCTAGCCAACGCACACATACAACCACATATGAAAAATTAAGTAAAAGTCACTAGAAAACACGCGAAAATTGGGCATAAAGCACAAAGGCAACTGTGAATAAGAGAAAAACAAGCAATAAAAAAACAAAAAAAAAAAATAAAATAAAGAAAAAATTAATTTTATTTCCAAAAACCGCCTTTGTCTCGGCAGCGCCTCACCATTACAAGTTTACAAGTTAATTTTATAATTTTTTTTTTTGAGTCCCGTTTGTTTGTTTTGTTGTCGTTTGCATTCACGAATTGAATGTTTTAGCGCGCTTTGTGACAACAACAACAACAACAACAACAACAACAACAACAGCAACAACAACAACAACGATTATGAGCATACAAGCTCGCGGCAAATGGACTGCAGCGACAGCTGTAGCGACGGCGGGCGTACAGCGCAGGCGTGTAATCAACAAACACATTCAACAGAAGTATCTGTTATGTGGGTTTGCCATACATGTACATATACATACATACCTATAAACTTTTAATTTTTTATTTTTTTGTATACTCGTATTTATATTTGCAATTATTAAGTAATTCAATGTGTATTTATAATTATATGTCACATCAAATGTCATCAAAGCAACAGGAAGATTTAAATTCACGAGCAACGATTCTGGTTGATACCCTACTTGAAGTTGACAAAAATTCCAAATCAAGAGATCCCAGAGAGTATATGTATATTTCTTGCTGTGCTCTTATTTTCACTTTCATTCTTACATTCCGAGGTTTACTACTGAGCTGTCAGTTTGTCTGACCCTATGTGAATAGCCCCTGCTGGGGTTTGATCTGTGAGCATGATTTGAGTGCGAGTGCGAGGTCTTCGATAGACTGCACAATCGTTGTGAGAAAAGTGATCTCAACGACCACAGAAAGGCTCATGATCAGACCTCGTCTTAGTCTATTTGAAGCTTCCAATGAAATTACCTCGGTACTTACCAACGGACTTAAAGCACTCGGAAGTCTATTTTTCCCTGAATCATTTTTAGTAATATAGCAGAAAAGGAATTTTCTACCCAATCTGCTTTAAAATAAGCGTAAGCCCCGCAAACCAGTCGTTTTATTATTGAGTTCAATGGAAATCGGAGGCGCAAAGTGAAGTCAGATTGCCCTGCATATGAGTCACTCTATATGAACTTAAGGACCTACTTTTTCCAGGCTTTAGCAAGAGCATCGAATACTTTCTAAGGTAAAAAGTTTCCATCTATTCGGATCCCATGACCTAACTAGCCTGGTTGCTGTCTCATAAGTCGCTGAGCTATGACAATGTTGCCGTATATCTCCTACAACTCATCCTCCCATCATCTACAGTATTCGCCATCGCCCATACACAGATCACCAGAAACTATTCGCAAAACTTTTCTCTCGAATCCTCTTATGCAGAATCATCATCATTGACCAGGTTATTGTCTTTGCTTGTAGAGAGAAGACCTTAATTTTCAATTATCTGCTCAGTTCAAAGTAGCATAAAGGCTGTTCCTGCAAGCGGGATGTTCCACTTGGACGCATACCCAGAAGCACCTTCACCAAAACCTCCACTCCATTATGTAGCACAGTCTACAACATAACAGGAGAGTGGCAAGATGGCACTTCATAAGACCTTTTCAGCGAATTTGAATTCAGTAAAATCAGTCTTCAGTTATTAAAACCTTATTTCCAAGAATGTTCCATACCGCTGTCTGATCTCCACAAAAACAAGCTATATAAAATTCAGTGAACGGTTTTTGACTCCTTCGAAAATCCTTGAAACTCTCTTTAATCTTCTCCCGTTAGACATATACTCGTAAAAACACTCACCACTATTCTCATCGAGAAGATCCGTAGCAATCTTTACCAGGTGTGTAAGTATGAAAACGGAGTTTTTGTAGAGAAAACACATGTTTATTGTAATGATATGATACAAAGTATTGTCCGTTGCTTTCTATACATTTTTCCCATGTTTCTGGCAATTTGTGAACTCCGCGCCAAAAGAACTGTTGCTCTTTTGAGGCAAAGCAGTCATCGAGCCACTTTCGTACATCTTCTTAAGAAGTAAAGCGCTGATCAGCAAGTGCGTGTCTCATCGATGCAAACAAGTAGTAACCGGATGGGGCAAGGTCTGGCGAGTAAGCCACGTGCTGAAGAATCTCCCAACGGAACGATTTTATCGTGTCCTGGACCTGTTTTGCTTTGTGTGCTTAGTTTGGGTTGTCTTTGTTGGTATTCTGGTCGTTTTTCACTCAAAAATCAATCCAAATCGGTAATTTGTTGTCGGTAGCGTTGAATATTGACAGTTTCCCCAGGTAGATGACGCCCTTCTGATCCGTCCGTAGCGGTTTGATCTTGCCGTCGATGTTGATGGTTCACTAGGATTCACCCATTTGTTTTTACGCTTAGGGTTCTCCAAATATATCCACTTTTCGTCGTCAGTAACAATTCGCTGGAGGAATGACTTTCTTTTGAACCTGGCGCGCAGAAAAAAAGCAAACAGAAGAATAGTGCGGTCCGCAAATCGTAATTTGTTGGCACACAATTCGACATGTTTATCTCTAATAAACTAATGCTACTGAATGAAACTCGTTCCATTGTGAGTTGGAAATCTTTGTCGGATATCAATACAATAACAAAACTCCGCTGACGTGATGTGTCGGTAACTGCATCGACATCTAGCGCAATCTATAAGCAAATTCTAGTTTCATACTTACTCACCTGGTATTAACGTCTCAAAGATCAACGGTAGGGTGGGCTAAGGAGTTCCCTCGGTACCACTCGCTTTGACGCCAGGATGTGACCTCAAAAGTGGCAAAAAAATGCAGTGAAATTTTAAACAAACTTGCAACTATTTGTGAAATATCCGCGGTTTGGGTGTTCGCATAGGGAGAAGTTCCAGGGAGTTGTGAGAGCAATGAGCTAGTTGAAGAGGGAGATATCTGCGGATATCCGCAAATTCTGCGCACGACCTCTTTTCTCGGCAAAACTCTACTAAAATCAGCCTTCACCCAGCCTTTTCAGTAGGGCCAATAGCAGATGACAGGGTGAAACTACATGTAGTACAACCAGACAGTTCTAGTCATGGATCGAAGAGAAGAAAATAAAGTATCTACACCTTCTCAACCGGACCTCAATATGCAGCAACATGTCGCTGCTGCAGGGTTATGGGTGAAAAGAGGTTGATGGAGCACAACTTCTACCACTGGTTGGTCCTCGGAAATTTTCTTTTTTGGAATGTCCTGCGGAGCTTGTTTCATCAACCTTGCGGGCTTTACAAAATTCACTAAATAGTTTAAGTATCTAGGATGGTAAAACGGAGCTTTTTCGCAAGTTTACTTTAGGTATCACAAGCCAAGTGCGTGTGATCAGGGTTCCTTTAGGAGAAAGATGGCGGTTAGTGCGGCACTTTATTCGGATGCTGATTTTCGTTTCAGAAGCAATTCCAAGCCATTTCATTGATCACAGTCAAAATTCGTTTAAGCGATGCAGTTATTACCTTTTCTGTCTTCAGCTGCTGACTCTCTATTTTACCTCGTCTATTTGCAGGCCTTCCTCGCCACACCAGCCTACCTCTATGGCAATGTTGTGGAATCGGATAAAGATTTGGTGCTACGCATTTGGCCTGCGATTGTTTATCAAGCAACCGGTCAGATTTGCCGCTCCATACTGGAACATCTGGATACAGAATATCGGGGACGTGAACGAGAGACAACCGAATATCGTCGATTTTTTCTCTGCGCAACATTGATCACCACTCTGTCGCTCATGATAAGTGGAATCTTTTTCTCATCGGCTTGGTTTATTGTAACAACTACAACGCAGGCGATAGCTATAGTATTTTATGGATTTTTTGCAGGTTAGTTTTGGAAGCGACCGGTTTTATTTTAGAAATTGTATTTAATTTCCACTAATCCTACCTTCAACTCGCAGGCATTGGCTCTAGTCTCTTCGCTTGGAAGACACATGTCATTTTGGAAGCGGTGCGGCCGCGTGAAGATAAATTTGTGCGCAAAACAATACATCTCTGTGGTGAAGCATTCTGTCAACTCTTTCTCTCATTCGTATTCACCAGTCTGCGTACACTCTACGGCACAGCCCAATCGATTGTTCTAATGTCCGCATTGCTAGTGAATCTCATACCCATCAGTTTGATTATTACACGTCATCGAGAGGGTTCCATAACCAAACGGATTTCTATGATCACCGCGGAAAGTGCATTTCCGCCACTACACCATCAGTTGGGCGCCTTCCCACCAAGTATAGCCGATCAAATTGATGGTATCGATGTACAACTGCCACGAACCTGGAAGAGCCCACTACGCGAACCACATCCGGGTACCGCGACAGCAGCGCTCTTTGCTGCTGAAGCGCGAAATAATTATATGTTGGCGGCGGATGAAGCATATGTGACTTTCGTCAATCCAAATGGTGTGGAGATTATGGAAATCATACCTGAAGAGGATGAGACCGTGTCCATAATGCGTGGTAGCTCAGCAACGATTGGAAAGAGTCACACGAGTGTCGCGGCATCGCAAAAGCTACATCCCAACGCCTCGTCGAATGGCTTACAGCAAATGGATGAGCTTGCAAGTGGTGGTGGTAGAGGTGGGAATGTGAAGACAGCGGGAAATTTGGTAAACGAAAGGTGACATCTGTATAAACGAGAATTGATTAAAGGTTTTATTGATCCATTTATAGCACAAATTCCAACGCTTGTCTCGCAATGTGACCACACATATATGGAAGAGTTTGAAGGAGAAGACTTTCCTGCCACTTCAACGTGCGCTCTTAGTGCCTCGGCTTTATTCCACTACACTGCTCATGTCTGCGGATATTTTTTCATATGTGATGTGTCTGACTGTGTTGCCGGGCTTGGCGGTGACTCATCATGCCATTAAGAATGCGGAGATACCATTTCTTTTTTCCCTAATCGCCTTTCCCTGGATGTGCTTCTCACTGATGACGCCACGCTTCGGCAGTAGCTTGTACAAACGTAAAATTGAGTGGCACACACTGGGTAGTGTTTGTAAAGCGCTGGCCTTAATTCGTGAGTAGAGTGCTAAATGTCTGACATTCCTAATTTTTTTTTTATTAATATGCATTCTATTTTTTTTAGTCATCAGTTTCTCGACATCGAAGCTACAGTTGAGCGTATCCTCCGTGCTATTGGGTTTCGGTCAGTCAGTAACCCTCTTCCTACAGGATGTCGTCTTTCAACGTAGCATGCCTCGCGCTCAATGGAATGCCATTCGATTTCCCGTGCATTTCACTAATGGTCTCTTGATGTTTGTCTGGGGCACTTTGGCTCATTGGGTTGTGGTGACGTTTTCCTTTCAGGTAAGTGGCTTTTATCTTCTCTGTGATGATGCGCACTCGGCTATCCAGTTAAACATTATAATTAATAACTAAGTAAAACCAACGGAAAAGAACTTTCCTTCTCTGTTAGCGTAGACCCCGCTTATACGATTTATCTCCTTGGCGCTAATTGAAAACACCAGGTGAAGTCTTGTCCTGCTCCATCGAAGAAGAAATCTTTCTCTTCCTCTGCTTTCATTCGCAGAGACTACAATCTTTAAAGACGGAGCTTTTTCTCGCAACCGTGCGGCAAGAACTTCCCAACTCTGTCCATAAGGCTTGATTTTTAGTCGTCGATAGACGACTTTATAATTGCCTGCTCCCCCTTGTGTGGAACTTTGTTTAGAACTGAACGGCTTGTAGAATCAGTTTCCTGGCGAGGCTGGTCATTTACGGTCTGTCGTGGGCAGCTTTGAAAGCAAAAAAAAAAGGGTGTGTGGTAATCTACTAATTAGTCTCGTTGTGAGTATCTATGGTGGACCCATCGAATATAGACCACACTTAGCTTTAGCCTTTCTATATGGAGCTGGCTGATTACACGACATTTGACACAGAATGTGGGGTTAAATTTTTTTAGAATTGAGCAAAGCACATTCAAGTTCCAAATGTTGTGTTTGCTTCTTTCAAACCATATTCTGCACATTATTTATTGCATGGAGGCGGCTGCGCGTCTGTGCTGCTACAGGGAAATGGTTCGTGTCGATGTTACATATTCTCGATTTTGTTCGAGGGAACAAAAAAGGTCTTAGGGTGACACATCGGGCGAATAAGGCGGTTGTAGCAACACGGCAATCTCTTTAGAGGCCAAATATTGGGACACGATATTTTCGATTCGAAAACAGAAGGCTGATGTGCCCAGATGGGGCACATGTTTTTTAACTGTTCATATAAAATCAGCTGTTCGTTGCTAATTGAGCCTCTGACCGGATTGGAGTATGAAATACACAAACTTCCCTCGTGCTGCAACCACCTCTTTCTCGTTTATTCCATTTTTATATTGCATTTTTCCCATGCCATTCGAGTGGAAGATCTCCCTCTACCAGAAGAGTTAATAATTCTCTATTGTTTTTTTCTATTTACAGGCGAGTGTGGGCTTGGCGGGGCTGGTTTACGTTGTAAGCATGTTAATTTGGAATATGATTTTCATTTGCTGCAACACCAGAGATTGAGAAGTATTACTAACTGTATTATTTTTATGAAATTAAAAAAAAATAATAATTCCATTTTTTGAGACTAAAAATTAATAAAAAAAAATGTTCCTTATTAAAACAATGGAATTTTACATTATCATGAAATGAAATGTTAAAGCGAAGGTTACAAAAAAGGCAATGTGTGTTTGTAATAAATTTTAGGAAAATAATAAAAAGATTAATAAGAAGTAACGAAATTTTAAAAAAGCTAGGAAATTTCTTTGTTTTATTTTTGATTTTTGAAATTCGATAGAACGATAGAAGTTAAAGGATATTTATCAAAAAAATCTAGCAATTATATAAAAAATATTTTAATGTTTTGTAAATGTTTTTTCTTGTCTATCTAAAACCTCTAAAAATAAAAAGGGCATATCTTGCTTGTGGCATCCTTCTCTCTACTTTTTAATAACAACAAAATTTTTATTAAGCAAAGTCAATATTTTTGGTGTTAGATTCGAATAATTATGTCTAAATACTTTTGTAGCGTTTTTTAGCTAAACTACAATATGGCAGCACCAGTGAAGAATCACAAACAGGGTTGCAAAACAGTGCATTAAAAGATAATTTTATCAAACACATTTAATTTCAATTTATTCTTTAATGCCATCAAAACTGTTATTGTAATTTAGAAAACTCTTATAGTTTCCATTTTTGTTTTTAGCTATATTCATAGCAATTGATTTCAAACATTGTGTAATTCACGAAAAGGAAAATTATTCTAGTGGCAACAAACGCGAAACAATCAGCCCTGCCAACTGTTAATAGACCGATTTCCATGTGTCACTTTTCACAATTTTGCGAACGGCGGCTTTTTTCTCACAAGCGCAAAGTGAAATTTTTTTAGTGCAACGTAGAAAATATATATTTATTAGTTGGGTGCATATAATACCAAATAAAAAAGAGAAAATCTACAAAAAGTCTTTCATTGCTGGTGAAAGGAATTATTATTCAATTGTTTGGTAGCTGTTTATACCATGTACCAATAAAACTAAAGGCGTGAGTTAGCATTAAGAAGAAATTGTCTTGTTGGGGTGAACCTCCGTAAATGGCTAGAGAGATTTTGAGTTCCAATACGGCGCACACCATACGCGTTCACATTGATGATGTACATTGAACACACGCCCTTGGAGGACAATCTACAATATTTCTTGAAAAATCACATTCCCGCTAGTGACGCCAATTCTATTCTGGCGCATGTACGCGGCTTTGATGAAATTTCTGCTACTCAACTGCATACGCAGACACAAGCTAACATTGCATACTCTCGCTATAGCGGAAACTTAAATGTGCTCCACTTGAGTGATACATCTTCTAGAATTAAAGTTCCAAACATAACCGATAAAGATACAAATAGTTATTTTGCTAGAAAAAAATTGTCACCGCCAGGTGCACGAAACCGTAACGCTTCATCACCACCACAACTTAACGGAATCGGTAATATTACATACGAAGAAGAAGGTGAAGAGGAGGAAAAATATGAATTGATTGATATTGTTGATGATCCAGAAGAGAGAGGTGATACAAAAAACAACGAGCTCACGCAGGAGTCTTCAGCCAATTGCGTTGAAAAAGTGCAAACACCTGTGACTGAAGAAATTATTATACAAATAGAAGGCGAAGAAGATAATTACGATTATTTTGTGCAACCAGCACCCAAACAGAGAAAACATAGTCCAACTAGAGCACCAAACCATGTAAGTGATTAAATCCAGTATAAATTAAAATTCCTAATACTCTTAATTTACTTTATTAGCAACTTTTTGGTCAACGCCGACAGAGTGCCGGTGAACCACAGAAAGCACGCAAGCGGCCATTACGTCCCGTGCCAGCAGCTATACCGATTGAAGCTATACAAACTGAGTTGGAATTGCCGCCACTGGAACTCATACCACCGCAACCACGCCGAAAGCGTGTTTTGAATGGTCAATTACCGCTTCCATTAGAGCGTTGTGATAGTGCAGAAAGTGTAACAAGTAGCTATTACTTGGCTGAGGACGACGTTGAATTTGCAGGTTATAATTACACAAAGGGTCACCGAAGACTGCTAGAAAACGGACAAGCAGAAGGGGAGGAAGAACTAGAAACAGAAGAAGACTACGATACATACTACACGTTGCCAGAACGTACGTCGGGTAGACCTACCAACTCACAAATGGGTATCGATATATTCAACAGACTGCGTCGTTTGTTGAATTTAAACACTGATTCTGCAGGCAATACACAAGGAGAGGATACGCGAAAAAGGTATAACTGAGAAGCCCACCTACAAATATTTTTTGTTTGAATTTTTTGAATTTTTAAATTGAATTTTTTTTTTGTAATATAAAAAATATTTTAGGTCGGCAAATTACTCAGCAGATGCCAATCCGCATCCAATTAAATATAAAAAAGTGCACAACCGATTTCCTAAAATTATAACCCACAAATTGGATGACGGTAAGTGAATCAATTTTTTTTTATTATTTCATTTTTTTTTAACGAAAACGTGTATTTACAAACATTGCTGTTTGCAGCCGATTTTGATGTGATCTCATCCTTTCCAAAGCACGAAAAACAAATGTTGTCATGCAAATCGCCTAGCAGCGCCTCCCAAAATTCATTAGAGATGACACAACGTAAATCATTACACTCCATTGGTTAGTTAAACGCTCAGAATATCGGCATGCAAACACCTTCAGTGATGTATTTATTAATTTGTTTATTTTTTTATTGTTTTTCATAGAAAAACCGAAATACCGAAAGTCAATGTTTACTGCGCCTACAATAACTCATCGGTTGGTTAAAAATACTTCCTATGCGGATGTCGAGTTTTCCGACGATGATGAACCAGAGTTGGTTCGAGGATTTGGCGTTGGCCTCGCCAGCGGGCCTGTAATGCGTGGTGAACACACCGTCAATCCATTACCACGCACTATTAATGTACCCATAATGCGTGAAAGTGAAAATGCTAGAGCGGCGATTATGAAACCGCCGCCACCACTTATTGAACCGCGTACAGGCAGTATCCTAGCGACATCACTTATGCCTGAAATTGATTTGACGAAACGCAAGCCCTTATCATACTCAGAGGTTCTGCGACAAAGCTTGCAAATTCCAATGGGTAGTGGCCATGTTTTAGGCAGGCGTACGGCGAGCTCAGCGTCGTCCTCGGGTGCCACATGTGAGTATTAAGTTCATATAAAAAAAAATTTCTTTGTAGTTAATTTTTTTTTTTTCTTATATAAAATAGCTGCATCTAATGGTGGTATAAATATTTTAGGCAACTTACGTTCCAACATGTGGTCCACAAATGCGCGTTCCATACTATCGCATGAAATAGAAAGTGAAGAGCACGAAAAATACCAGCAACTATTGCAGCAGGTAGTACCATGCTTGTATGGCAGCACAGAGGGTGCGAATGCGCGTACGTTGCCAAAGCCAGCATTTGGTTTTGATGCGCCACAAAAACGCAGTGCTTTGCAGCATGTCAATCTCGGCAATCAGAAGTCCGTGAGCAACCAACGTAGGTCACTAACAGAGCAAAATAGTTATGGACGTGCATTGAAAAGACCACCATTGTCGTCTACAATCAATTTGGACGATGACGATGATGATGGTGATGAAGAGAATAATGATGTCACGTTGGTAAATGTGAGAAAACAAACGCCTGTACGGACAGCTTTGCCCACGGTTATTGTCGACGACGATGACGATGAAATAAGTGAAATCATCGACTTGGACGATGATGAGCGGCAAGTGGTGTCGGCTTGCACAAAATTGAAAGATCAGAACGAGAGCGGTCCAGGGTTAGGCGCAAATGATAAGAAAAAGTGCTTGACAAGATTGTAATATACAACGTTAGATGTTGTTAAATTAAAATAATAATAAATATGTTTTTTTCATTTAATTACCCAGGCCCTACGTTGAGCCGGTTAATACGTTGCAAGAACGTTTCAATACTTCACCACATCTCAAGTCAAATTGGCTTGAGTCATTGCAATCGAAATGGACTGAAAAGAAGAAGAGTCGTCTACAGGAGGTCAACGAAACCGTGAATGTGTATGTTTGTTTAAAAAGAGATTTTATTTTTGATTTAAATTATTTACATATATCTGTACAGCCTAGAAAAGCTAACAGCCGAGCGTCGTGCCGCCGAATTGGAAATGCAAGAACGCCTGCGTAAAATACAAATAGTCGATCCAGATTTGCTTGTGATCGATGATTTCCCAGAACCAGTTATAGAGGAAGAACCTGAATTTATAGATTTAACACCGGAACATCAAAATCGTATAAAGGCCGCTGTAATGGGGCCACCAGATCAGGTATGTTGTAAAAGTTGTTTTATATTAAAAATATTTTTTATTAAAAAATAAACGTTGCTTCCTTTTTCATTATTTAGGTTTTGGTTTCGAAATTCAATTTAAACATTACACGTCGCGATATACACACCCTGCTAGGTCACAACTGGCTGAACGATGAAGTTATCAACTTCTATATGAATCTACTGACCGAGCGTGGTGAGAAAAGGCACGAAAAACACGGTTTACCCACTGTATACGCAATGAATACATTCTTTGTGCCACGCTTACTGTCAGCTGGTCATGGTGGCGTCAAACGTTGGACTCGCAAAGTGGATATATTCTCCAAAGATATTATTCCAGTGCCCGTGCATGTGGGTGGTGTGCATTGGTGTATGGCTATTATACATCTAAAAAATCGTACCATTAAATACTATGATTCGATGGGCACACCAAATCCTACCGTGCTAAAAGCACTCGAACAATATCTCAAGGATGAATCGTTGGATAAGCGAAAGCAACCTTACGATACTAGCAATTTCGAAATCGAGTCGGTACGTGATGTACCCCGTCAAATGAATGGCAGTGATTGTGGTGTATTCAGTTGCATGTTTGCCGAGTATATTACACGTAATCGTGAGATAACATTCTCGCAACAGAATATGGAATATTTCCGTCACAAAATGATATTAGAAATTGTTAGTGGCGAATTGTTGCAGTAAAACCGTATAAATAATGATAATTGGTAAAAGGCTGCAGCGAGATGAAGTATATGAACGTGTGTATGTGCTGGTTGGACTGGGCAAAAAGTAAAGAATGTCATTTAATTATAATTTTTTCATTTAAACTGAAATGTCTTTTTTGATTTTCACAGTGTAAAAGTAAGTGTATTTTCCAAGCCATACGCTAAGAAATTAATCATTCTTGACAGTTCAGTAATAGACAACATGTATGTCGCCTTTAGTATAAATCTTTCATTTCATTTGTACGGCATTGGTATATTTTCTATAAAGCAAACTGAACACCATGATGAAAACTAAAAGCCGCGACGTTCAATATAGTATTCAAAAGCACTACTTTCTCTTCGTTAATTACTTCATTGCTGTCGTTTTGGATAGTTTTTTTTTTTTTTTCTCAATTTACTGTTCAGTTTATATATATTAATAATCAGTAATGCAGTTTACATTAAATTGAAATTTCGCGCAATAATTGCACTACTTAACTCTATTTTATTATAAAAAAAAAGTCTAGATTAAAATTTGCAAATATAAAATATAATATATACATACCAACAAAAACAAAAAAGCATAACTTATTATGTAATATTCTGTTTAAGATTTCGTGGATACAATTCGTATTTTTAATAATTGAATAATCTTTTATTTATGTATTGCGTGTGTACGATTTATGTACATAATCGCTATTTAAACGTCTCAGTTGTGTGACAAAATTCATAAAAAGGAAAGAAAAAAATATGTTTTGATGAATGCTCAAACGCACTTTAATTTCTTTTCTTAAATTATATATCCATCTAAATGTAAAAACAAGTATAAAATAATGCTTGGGTTCTATTAAAATTTGCAACAGTCGAAAGAAAAAAATAGTAAATGGCAACCAACCTACTACATAACATACATAACTAATTTATCTGTCTATAATAAGCCGTCTACAGTTATAAGGTTGCATTTCTGAATTACATACATGCGTATATTTAGTTTAAAAACAAATATTAATAATTTGTATGTCACTGATTGAAACAATAAATACCTACTATAGAAAAAAATAAGAACAGGCGTTAACATAGTGCTGTATAGGGAGAGTGATTGGGTGATAAAACTCTGAAAAACTTCACGGAAAAAAGTAAAACAAGAAATAGAACACTGCGTATAACATTTAAAAATGTTATTTTATTTATTCTTTGTAAAATAACTTTTATAAATATCTTCAATAGTTTTTTTAAATTTTGTTTTTATATATTTTATTTTATTATATTTTCTAACATATTTACTTTTACTAATTAATTTTTTATTTTCTTATACTTGTATCTTAACCTTTTTTTTATTTTTTTGTGTATTTTTTTTAATATATATTTTTTTAATATATATTTTTTAATATATATTTTTTAATATATATATTTTATTACTATTTTAATATATATTTTTTAATATATATTTTTTAATATATATTTTTTAATATATATTTTTTTATATATATTTTCAACATTTTTCTTTAAAACTTGGTTTAATATTTGTTTTAATATTTTTTTTTTTAAATATTATACTTATTTTTTTATTATATTTTTATAAATTTTTTGTTATTTTTTTATAAATTTTTTATTATTTTTTATTATTTTTTTATTATTTTTTTTTTTATTATTATTTTTTTAATATTTTTTTTTTATAAATGTTTTATTATTTTTTTTTATAAATGTTTTATTATTTTTTTTTATAAATTTTTTAAATTTTCTTGTTTTATATAATTTCATGTTTTTTGATTATAAATTTTTATATTTTGTATATTATATTTAATATTTGTTTTAATATTTTATTAACTTATATTTTTTTATAAATTTTTATATAATTTTATGTTTTTTATGTGTTTTTATACTTCTATTTTATATGTTTTTAATATTTTTTTAATGTTTTATATTTAATAATTTTTAAAAAAAATTTTAAATATTAATTTTTTATTTTTATTTATTTATTTTTGTTCGATATTATTTTTATAAATATAGTTTTTTTATTCATTTTTTTAGGTAAATATAAAGCTTTTATTTTCTTGCGTTTCACTTAACTTTTTTAATTAAATTTTCTTTGTTTACTTTTTATATATTTATTTTTTTTTTTACTTTTTCATTTGGTTTTAGTTTTGTTTTTAATTTAATTTATCGTTATTTTTTTATTTAATTGGTTATATTTTTTGTCATTTAATTTATTTTAATTTTTTATTTAATTCATTTTTATTCTCTTCTTTTGTTTTTTTTTTTATTATGTTACATAATTTATTTTTATTTTTATATATATATATATATATATTTTTTAATTATTTTTTCTATGTAATTTTCTTTTTTTTTAATAAATGATTTTTTAATTAATTTTTTTTTTGTTTAATTAATTTTCGTTTAATTTACTTTTATTTTTTTTATTAAACTTGTTTTGATTTTTTTTTATTTTGTTTATTTTACTTTTTATTATATTTTATTTTATTATTTTTTTTTTATTTAATTTCATTTTATGTTTTTATATTAAGTATTTATTTGCCTACTGCATACGGAGATATACCCCTTTCTGGATGATGACCACAGTAAACTGTTTAACGATATTGATTTGAATTTATGTACCGGTAATGCCCTGTCCCTGAATTTGTGAAGGCAGATATACCTCTACGACGAGCCCTAGCTAACCGACTGAGTTTATAGAAGACTTATGCGGCTGTGTAAACACTGGATAATACCAAAAATTGCTGTCAGCATTGATAAGGCAGCCAGACAAATGGGGGCTAGTAGTGAACGAGGACAAGACGAAATATCTCCTGTCATCAAACATCGGCTCCCACGTCACTGTGGACAGTCATAACATAATCTCACATTGAAATCTTGCCAACAGGTGCTACTTTGAACTGAGTAGACAATTGAAAAGTAAAGTCCTATCTCGAGGACATCATTCCCGTTCTGGTTCGGAGACATGGGCGATGACAACATCTGATGAGCCGGCATTGGGAGTTCTTGGGAGAAAAACTTTGGGTAAGATTTATGGTCGTCTAGCAGGTTGGGAATGGAGACAGTGGTAGCACTGACTAGATCCGTTGATTGAAGCAAAGGAACAGTACGACCAGATCTCCACTTCGTTGGAAAGTTCAGGTGGGTCAGGAGTTGTCTTTGCTTGACTTACGTTAAAAAAAAAGATTAACCAAATCGACCTTTTATCGCCTTCCCATATAACCGATTTGATTGGGAAGCTCTTCACGACGCACCTAAACCAAAGAAGAACACAACTGCTGATCTTCCTTTCTAAATGTTTGCTCTCTTGGTCACAAACAAAACATCAACTTCATCATTGAAAGCTTCAGAGAGATTAATTTGGGCATGTGCAAATATGTATGGCTGTATATGAAGATCTGTTGTGCCTGCTTCCTACGTATGAGTTAAAAAAAAGAGCAATAAAAAGATAAAAAGTCATAAATCCACAGAAACAAGTTCTAAACAAAACATGAAAGTTTTGAGAATATTTTTGTTTTTATTTTTGAGCGTCTTCTGTTGTGGTCATTAATATACATATGTACATATATACATAGACATACATATGTAAATTAATATCTGAGAAATGTTGCTTAGATGATGTTTGTTAATTGCGAAAAGAAAACATTGAAAAAATGCCAACGTAATGACGACATCATCGGACTCAACGTCGATCTGTCTTCCCGAAGCATTTCCAGTGAATACTCTCGTACATACATACATGCATACTTACAAACGAGTACATAGAACTTTTTGGCGGTAAAAACTTTGTGAATTTGCAAAGTCAAAACCATAAACAACGCGACATGTTTATATTGTAAATACTACATACATACGAGGGGATTAACAAAAGTTCGGTAAGTTGACCAGAAAAAAGAAAAAAATAATTTTGTATTTATTCGTAAACTTTGACCATTTTTATCTTCTCTACATAATCGCCATTGATTTCAATGCATTTCTAAAGCCGATAGCTCCACTTCTGAAAACAGTCCTCAAAATCTTGCTTTTTAAACTTACCAAGTTCAGCATTAACCCCATCAATTAGTTCCTCGTTGCTATTAAAAACCTTCTCTTTTATTTTTTTTTAATTTTTGTAATTAAACAGAAATCACTAGGTGCTGTATACGGGAAATATGGGGCTGGACGTATTTCTTCGATCCGAGAAATCCCAATAAAATTACTTATTGTCTAGGCAGTGTGGGATGGCGCGTTGTTACGATGTAAAAAGTAGCGCCGCAAATCCTCATTCTTCCTATTTTCTAACAAATTTTTGAAAGCATTTGTTAAGGTGTACCATTTTGCAGTTACCGTCTGACCCTTTTCCAGTGGAATAGCAGCTACGATTTTAGATCGGGTGAAGTAAACTGACGTCATCACTTTTACTGCTGATTTTTGTTGCTTAGATTTTACTGGAAGAATTCTCTTTCCATGTCCAAAATATACAATTTCCATGGTCTGCCTTGGCTTATTTAAGCGCAAAATAAATAGTCTCTTTTAGCAAAGTTCTTGAAAGTAAAAATATATATGAATATATGTGTATATATGTGTGTTTTGGCGAGCCAAATTCTATGTATTTATTTATCCATCAAAATGTTTTGTTCGATCTTTGCGCTCTAGAAAATTGTAGGCGAACGAGTGGAAACTCCCACAATACTAAATATTACATATTTCATATAGATATGTATGTATGTATGTATAATTAAAAGGGTGTTTTTTGTTGAAATGTGGTTTTCAAGAAGGTATAAAACACAAAAAATCAGTTTCAGCTATCAGATTATAAATAATAGGATTGCCGTTAAGCCTTAAAAATGATTTCGGACAAGTGACCGCCGTGGCTGCCTTAAATAAATTCCAGCTGAGAAGCTCAAATAACTCAAAGACATCAAAGGTCTCGAACTTATCTGCGTACACAAGCGACATTACATTATTTGATGAGATCCTCAAAGCGGAGCACCTGGGGATAAGAAAAAAAGTTTTGCTGGCAACGAACGGGGCAATTGGCTGGTCGATCGATCTCAAGACCGCTACAGCAAACGTTCTGCTATCGCCCGAGCATCAATTGCACATCGAAGCAGCGAGCTAAGGAGCACAATGCTTTGCTATGCAAGCAATTTCTGCTGGGACATCTATTAGAGACTAAACCTCTAACGAGGATCATCAGAAACTGAGTACTAGACATGTAGGACTCGATCCAGCACTATGGGCAACAACCGCTGCACAGAACGGCATACAGACAGACACAAAACACTATTTACCAAGAGTCAGTTAGCACCTTCAAGAACTCATTGCCTGTGAATGGCGACCTCGCAGTCAAACCACCAGCCATAGCAGTTGAAAAGCTCGAGATGCCTGGAGAGTCACGCGTATTACTAGCGCAAAGTAAGCATGTATGTTGTAAGAGGTTATGCTTTTATCCATCCGCATTCGATCCTCATATACATAAAGTATGCCCAGCATGTAACGAGTGCCCCAGCACGACACTAACCACTACTTTATATGACCCCTAAAACCAACACATCTAACCCACTTCCTGCCTTTGGTCCGAATCAATCAAAACAGCTCGTTTTCTGGACCTTCAGTTCCAGATGATCGCGGTCGCTTGTCGTTCGCCTAAAATTATTGTACGAGTTGGATTTTTTAAGCCTGCAAACCATGATCCTTCCTCAAAGTGCATGCGCATAGCTTCAAATGTTGCTCGAGATGGTAAATGGAGTCTACTCTACAGCACAGGGAGCCTCTGAGGAGGGCCTCTGAGTATGTGCATTACCAACTAGAGTAATCGTGTTGCGAAACCGATCCATGTTTGCACGAATTACCAACCGATATGGTTATTGAATGTGGGAGACAGCGCGCGATGCCTCGAGCGAACCACTGTAGCGATTTTCTGGCGGGCTCCTCCTCCAATTTGTGGTTTTGTGTCTTGATGTTTTTCCAACTAATGAATCTACAGTTTATACTAAGCCGCCTCCGAACGACTGATGGTTTTTTATGAGGAGCCTTTATTTCATGTCCAAAATACACTCGGAGGGGTGAACATTACCTGCCGAGGGGCGACCACAATTAGAAAATTGAACTTGATTTTTTATTTCAATTAATTTTCCATAACTTTTGGATGTTGATGGCGCCGGGATTTGAACCCGAGCCTTCCGAATGTCAGTACAAATGTTATTCCATGGTGAGTCCGTTCGCTTTGTAATGGCAAACCGAACTGAATATGAAAACCAAAGGGCTAAAATATCACCCTTCACATATGTATGTTCATATTAACGATATATATATGTATCTACACGTATATTCAACTAATAATTACTTGCAATATTGCAATCTAAAGACATTTGACTGTGTGAATGTATGTATGTATGTATGAATGTATGTATGTTTGTGTTTGTAGACACATTTGTTCTACTTAAAAAGCTTCACTGATCAATAAATGTTTGTATGTATGTATTTTGCCATACATTTGTTTTGCTATAGCCGTTCAACGTTAATCTCTTGTCGAAGATCACTCTTGAGATGAGCGCATTTCGCCTCAGTAGAAATTAAAACAGTCTCCGCTCATTTACTCAGTCACTTTAATCGCGATCGCCGCCGCCTCGCTGATCACACAAAGCTGATCAATTTATAATGAATGAAGGAATGAATCAATGAATGAGTGACTGAATGAAACGGGAGCAGTCTTTTGAAGATTGCAATGAGTTGTAGGCTCAAACAGCTAAATATGTATTTATGTATGTGTATGCATACTTACTACCGACTACATACTTGTATATGTATAAAAAATCAAGTAGAAAAATGATCTCAGCACCGTCAACGCTGATCTCGTCAAAAGCTTGTTCGAAAAGTAAGGTGAGCAGCAATAACGAGCATATAAGGAGAATTTATAAACAATCACTATGTGTACATGTATGTCTACATATAAATAAAGTTGTTGTATATATGTATGTATACGCATATATGTTTGTATGTGATTTGTTTTTCTGTTGTGTTGCACTGCACAGTTTTTGTTGTTTCAATGAAGTTTAATTGTGTCCATATGGTCTTGCAACATCTGCACAGCATTACACACACATACATATATTTAATAAAGCATACATACAGACATGTTGTACACACATACATCTCTCATTTAGGCGTAGGTGGAATAATGAACTAATTTCGGACGCAACATTTTTGATTATTTAAAATAAAAATCTATAAATAAAAGCTTACTCCCTTCAAAGTGTTGCCTCCTCACCGTTCATTCGCTTAGAAGAAGAATTTCTCGGAAGAAATTCGTTTTTTCATTTACCTTGACGTTCGTATCGTGCTTGTGTCTTCCTCCACCTCGTTGCTTTTGCATTTTCTGTAAGAAACTTTTAACTTTTCTGTATGTCGTCCTAACGAAAAACTGCCTGCCTGAAGTCCTGTCACTTAAGGGCTGTCCAGAAGGTAAGTGTACTGAGGCTCTCACAGCCGAAGTGATTATTTTTTCGTCATTTTAGTCATCATGGTAGTGTTGCCAAACTTCTTCCCTTTGCAATGAGATGGATTCGAGGTTTATGCGTGAAGAACTGTGGACTAGACAACACGTTTTGTAAACGATGTACGTCCAGTCTTCCTCACGCCACGTGGGAAACACGCGACGTCAGCCGTTATCTCGTTTAGAGGGGGAAACCTTCGTTTCATATTTATATTGAGGTGAAAACTCTGCTTGCTGTACGAAAATGTCACGAACGAACTACTCCCGAGCATTGCCCTGATCTGGCAACTTCAGATTATTATCTCCTTACCTTCTTAATTCTGCACATGGGTGGAAGAGACTGCCAACTGATAAGGAGGTAAAGAAGGAGGTGGAGAAGTGAGCAAAAGGGTTGGCAAAATCTACTTTTACAGCTTACTTAAATGGCTTAAATCAATTTAATTTCAATTTATTCCAGATAAGGCTCAGTGTGATTCCACCTTGGCGAGCCATGCTCCTAGATGAATTCTTCGGGAAGCAGTTTGCTGACAGAGATTGTTTTATTTGTAGGGAAGAATATGCCTTGCCTATAGCCAAAACTCCAAATGAGAGGAGTCACTTAAAAGAATATCAAAGCTGGATCTGATGACTAAAGGTAACGGTTTCTAGATGGTTTCGTCGGAAAAATACGTCCCAATCAACTCGTAATTTTGATCCGATCTACATACAAAATTACAGAAACTTATTTTTCTAATTGCGGTCGCCCGACTCGGCAGGAAATGTCGAGCCCTGCAAGGTGATTTCTGATTTCAAATGAAAGCTCAAACTGTAGGTCTCCCCATTTGTTGGGAAAATATGAAGACGCACACCACACTCTAACTTTGTGGAGCTGGAGCTCGGCCGAAAATATATAATATTAAATCTCGGTTGTTCTTATTGGAGCAGTTCGGGGCATACTAGATCCAGTAAATGAAGTGTGACTTCGTGGTTTTTTAAAGAAAAATTTACCTAAATAGATCAACAACTATTTGGTTGGGTTTGTACCTATGTCAAACGAAAGCCAGAGTTCGTTAGGGCGGCCAACCAAAAAACTTAAAAGGCGTCTTTCAGAATCATAAGGCACCAGCTTTTTCTGGTATTCTGTGAAAACGGTGTTCTTGGTGGGATTTGAGTTCGGAGAGCAGCTCGGCCAATCCATGGTTTCTGTGGAGCAATCAATCAATTTCTGAATCTTTTCATTGTTTACATGAATGCGAGCATTATTCTGATGGTAAAATCCTCTGGAAGGGAAAGGAATGTAGCCTGTTTCCTAACACTTGAATGTAGTCTTTCCTATTCATTCGAGACCATGTGAATTGTAATTCGAGTGGGGCTTTTGCCCCTCACACTATTACAGTGCCGTCTCTGCTTTCGCAGATCTGTCCAATAAAAATGAAAAGCATCTGGCTCTCCAATATTACATTTCTTTTCGTCCGAGAAGATAACTTTTACAAAAAATAGAGTCAAGCTATCAAACTTTAGCATCAAGAGCAGTAACCCTGTCTTTCCAAACTGATGGCTGAATGGCCAAATTGAAAACGCATGAGTTTAACTCGAATTCAGTCAGTCAGAAAGTCCAACTTCCGACTGGCCTTGCAACATTATATTATAATTCCTTGGGCTCTATAAGAAATTCATAAGGCAGCTAGAGTTCGTTACATTGGGTTTGATGGCTTTTGGATTAGTTCGTTATCCTTCCTCGTGAGCACAATTAAGTCCATTTTGAGCCCTTTTCCAGAAGTATGTCGCCCGGTGTTGAATGTAGCTAACAACGTGGTTTCATTCCTTATCAAAAGTGTGACTTAGTTAAGTCAGCCCAAAAAAAAAAATGTCGTCAGCGGTTTTGTAGTAAAGATAAGGATTTTTTGCTGCGAAAAGAAAAACCAATTAATTTTGTTTTTTATTATGGATTTATGATTCACTTAAAAAAAATTTACCATAATAACTGAGAATTCCGTGTAAAAAAATGTGGGAAGGAAATGTTATCGTACATACTTATGGATCAAGCAGCCCAATTGGCAACAATCACAACAATCATTTGTTCGATCACTTAATAAGGAACCGTTTTTATCTGTCTAGGTTGTGGATAAGCATGTAGGTCTGAAGAATTCTTAATGTGCTGCTTTAAAATTTCCACGGCATAGAAGTGTGTGTCTGGATATTAGGGCACTCTTGGTCACAAATAAATACTCTCCTGCATCTCGGTCGGTTTTGTCGCCAGATAGATACCAGTTCTTCAACCAGATTTTTTGTATAATTCGCGATAAAGTTAGCAAGTCAGAATTGAAATTCCTGGACGATTCCGAAATAAGAAAAAGAGCAATAATGAACGAAGGCTTCCAATAATATAGTGAAAAGTTTAGTGGTTGTCTGATGGAAAATACGGGGTTCCAGGACAAGACTACTTTACATACATACAAAATACTTGAATCCATATCGAAAGATATCGTACTAGCGTTGGGGAAAATTACTAGCGGAGGATTGCAGAGCGGCCTCTTCACTACCAGGTAGATCAAATTGTTCGCTTGACAAATACTGATTTGGTTGGGAGATCAGTAGTGGTCTCTATTGGCTTCCTCCAAAGAGCCATTATCACGAAAGAGTGTGGCTCATGCTTCGTGGAGATTGTTTGAAAGAGGCTTCCCTTCTTGAAGTTCGTGTTTTTTTTGGTAACTGTTTCTCGATGAGTTACTATGGTATGGGCTCAAACGCTTGAACGAGTGTGGGACAGCTGAGAAGGCAAAGAATATCTCTTCACTAGAAAATCTTCATCACCTCTGCCTGTCTATTTAGCGAAAATCTCATGTGATGACCACCAATAATTCGTTGGTATCTTATGTTTATGGCATATTATGCCTTCATGCAACAGCAATCACCACCAATTGTTAATACCATCGATAAATGGAAACAATAACAACAGTTGAGCCAAAAAGTCAGCAACCACCACCACCACCACCACTCATGACTTAACGCTAGTTACTTTATTAAGGGCCAAAGTCAGCAAGAAACTGAATGCCGACGTAGGCAGCAGCTGCAGCAGCGGCAGCAGCAACTATAAACACTGGCACCAGGAGAAACGCTGTGCTGAGAAATAGCCAACCCACAAACTAAATACTTGCTCATTGGGCTCATACTCGCCTTATGGTTGTTCGTGTGTACTTAGATGTGTACGAGCAGTTAGCGTCTGCGTCAACGTTGACTGCGCTTGTGGCGTAACTGCTGTTGTCTGTTGCTTCCAAGTTTATGCGCGAGATTGGAGAATGTTTTTAGTTGGTGTTGAAGTCTCATGGCGGTCGGTCAGATCAGTTAAGCTGAATTAGAAAACGTTCGAAAGCGCGCACAAAACGAAGTAGCTAAATACAAAATATTGTCCTAAGTGTAATTAGTTAGTTTTCGAATAATTTGATTCTTTATTTAGTGTAGACAAACAGTGAGTGTGCGGGAGATGAAAACTTCAAAAAAATATGCATTTAACCTTCACTGATATATTTTTTGATTAATATATATTACATTTATATATACGAGTACATATGTATATACATATACATATATAACAGTGTGTTTAATTTTAAAATCAGTGGCACACGCTCAAGGTATAATAAGATGTGCCCAGAACATTTTTATACGAAAAAAGTAATTTTTGAAAATATAAATTCAAAAAAAAAAAGAAATACATCTGATGTGTGCTGGAGCGAGCGCAGCCGATCCGCGCAGTGTGGATTCGGAAATTTCCTAATTTTAAATCGTGATTTTTTCCCTTTTAATGTGTTATATATTATATACTTGCATGTGTATGTTTACAGAAAGTCTATCTACAGTCCTGCGGCACAGATGTGTGAAGAATCTAAATGAAACACCGTTAAATGCAGTGAATTACCAAAAATAGATTTGTGGAAGCAAATAAAAGAGTGATTAAAAAGTGAAGACGAAAAGGCAAAATGCAGGAAAATAGAATTAAAAAATAGCATATAAAAGAAATAAAATATATTAATATAAAATATGTAGCAAGAAATATAATAGAAAACTAGCATAATATTTCATTAAATTAAAAAAAAAAATAAATAAAATAAAATAAATTATATTCAATTGAATAATAATAAGTTAAATTTAATTATGTTAAAAAACGTCAAAGTAAAATAAAATTAAAATGAAATAAAATAAAATAAAAGACAATAAAATAAAACAAAATTAAACAAAATAAAAAATGTAATAAATAAAATAAATAAAAAATTAAATAAACTAAAATACAACAAAATAAAATAAGAAAAAAATAATAAAGTTAACTAATTAAATAAAATAATTAAAGCAAAATAAAAAAAAAATCCATTCATAAAAATTATATTTAATTTTAAAAATATAAGGAATTAACAAAATAAATAAAAAGGAAAGTATTTAAATAAGTAATTATTATAATATATATATATACATATACTTATACAAATATAAAAAATAAACTGAATAAAATTAAATAAATAAATGCCATAATACCAAATAAATGAATTTTTATTTAATAAAACAAAATAGTAAAATTAAAATAAAAAATATAATAAATAAAATTATATTTAGTTTTAAAAATATAAGGAATTAACAATATAAATAAAAAGGAAAGTATTTAAATAAATAATTATTTTCATATATATATATATATAATAATACAAATACAAACAGCAACAAAAAAATTAAATAAACTAAGTTAAATGAAATTAATTAAAATAAAATAAATTAAAAAAATGAAATAATATCAAGTAATTAAATTTATATTAAATAAAATAAAATAATTAAATTAAAATAAAATAATTTAAATAAAATTAAATAAAGAAAAAATAAATAATAAAATAAAATAAAATTTATAATTTATTAAAATGAATAATATGAATTTGAATGAAATAACATAAGCAACAAATACAAATGTTAATAAAAGTATAAAAAATAAATTAAAAAAAAATGAAGTGAAATGATATAAAATAATATTAAATAAAGCAAAATAAAATATAAATAAATGAAATAAAAAATGTCATAAAATAAACAAATTAAATGACAAAAGAAAATCAAAGAAAAAAATAAAATTACAAAATTTTAAAAACACCGTGACAAATTAAAAAAAGCGAAGAGCCATAAAATAGCCTTAATAAATTTTCTGAAACAGCGAAATTTATTGAGCAGAAAACAGTAATTCACACAACTTTCAAAAATAGACATGAGCATAATGTCAAAAAATCATGAAATATTATGAATGTGAATGCGATTGTGAAGAAAAAGTGCTAATTAAAGCAAATTACTACAAACAAAAGTGGAAGTAAATAAGTGCAAAAATCAGTGAAGAATGGAAACTGAGAAAAACTTAAATTCTTACTCACCTGTTTTTTCTATTTTTTCTTTTTTTTTTTTGGTAAATAGTGCCAATAATTTAGCGAAAATTGAACGTCTGACCTCATCTCGCCTTCATATATGTATGCTATGTGTGTTTGAGTGTATGTACATATATTATATGTAGGTGTCAGCGTAAGATCAGTGCATTAAAGCAAACACATATACATACATACATATGTATATGAAAGTTGTGTGTAGGCCCGAGATCGCGTTTGCTACATACATACATACATCTGCATACACCCAGCTATAGCTCCTATCTATACGATCTGTCGCTATCTGTATGTCTATATGTTTCTTCGCCTTCTGTTACCGCAACGCGTCGTCCGCCGCTCGCTGACTAATTCTCATTTGCCTACGTACGAACGTGTCTATTTTTAGCGACTTATTTGAATTTGTTTTTGAGTAAAAGATTCACTTCGAAACGAAAAAGTTTTGTGTTTTTTTACATACATACATACATATGTATATATTTTTTTAATTTTAAAAATCTTGCTATATGTTTTCTTGGCGTTTTAGGTGCTTTGTTCATATGTGCAATACATATGTTTGTGTTTTCGCATTTTGTATTGTTGATTTCCGAGGTATATTTTTTGTTTTTCAATCAATTTTGGCAAGAAAATATATTTTATAAAAGTATGTTTGACTCATTTTCGCTGGATTAAAGAAAAATAATAATAATAAGCTAAAATAAAAATTAAAAAAAAAAATCCCTTCACAAATGTGACTGAAATTCGATCGGGCACGAAAAATTTGGGAAATTGGCTCATAAAAAGTAAAAATATTTCAGTCATTAGGTTTAAAAAATTTTAAAATATATATATTTTTTAATAATTGTTTCATTTAATATCTTTGATTTCCATTTTTGTCCAAGAAAAACGATTGGCTTTTCAACTTTCCCTTAATATTTTTTCATCTAGACCGAAAAATACATTTTTGTGCCACATAAAAAAAATCAATTAATGTTAAACAATAAATAAAACAAGTAAAATTGATAAAAAGTAATTTATATATATGTATATATATATATCTATATATAAATATATATATATATATATTTGAAGCTTTAAAAAATTATAATATTTAAAGAAAATAACATTTTTACTGATCTTTTAAGAAAACCTATTTTTTTTTAAACACCATAATCACATACATACATAAGTACATACTTATTCATTTAATAAATATATGTGTTTTATATTGCTCACCAGGTGTGTATTTTTTTAAAAACAAATGTTTTCAAAACCACAATAAAAATAAGCAGTGTATTTAGTATAAATTTTCTGGAGATTTAAAAAATTCACAAAAAAAAAAACAATTAATATTAAAATAAAAGCAGCAGACAACAAAATGCAATAACACTGTAATTAATGAAAAAATATTTTTAACTTTATTTGTAGAATTATTCCCATTGCTATAAAAATAAAATAAAAAAACTACAAAAAATAATTTGAAACTATCAAGCTTTCTGAGTAATTTTAATAAATATTTAGTAACTTTTTTACTAAATTAAAAATAAGAGCTGTGAGCGTGTGTTCTTTTCTGTATATAAGTATATACATGTATATATATCCTTTTTTACTTAATTTTTTTTTTAATTAAAAATGCATTAAATTAATATGTACATGCACGCATTCATATGTATATGTATGTATGCGTGTATGTATGTACGTGAATGTGTGCATTAAAGAGACTTCAAGTGAATTAGATATTGATCAAAATAAAATTAAAACTATTTTTTCCATAAATGAATAAAAATGTTTGCATAAGTTTTGCAATTTTTGTGTCAAAAAAAAAAAATTGCATTCAATTGAATAATAACGGTTTTATGCTGATCGCGTGCTTTCATATATTCGATAAACATTGATAATAAGGCAAGAAACTTGCCAACAGACATATACGATACAAATACATATGTATCTAGGTGTGTATGTATATATGTATTTACATATAAGTATGACCATAATTCGCATGTTTGTGCATAAAACGAGAACTACGCCTACAAACATAGAAATTCTTATGATTTCATATATTTATTATATACGTGTACATACGTACATACATATTGCTCTATAGAATTTTGTTTGCGATCGCGGGCGAGTTTATTGGCAGGCTGTATGTGCTTCGAATTCATGCCAAGCATATTAATTTATTTCATATATATATATTTTTTTTGACTTTATTATTGTTTGTGTATAAATTAATGAATGTGTGGTGTTTGTGTTGTTGCTTATAAAAAATAGTAGGCGCTTTGCTGGCCATATGGTGTGCCTAACAGGCAGTTTCTCATATATAGTTACACACATACATACATACGTACAGGGCTACCTTACAGAGCAAGTACGTTTTTTTTTTCTTTTGCTTCTGAGCATGTTCTTACCCAATCGATCGCCTTCATGCAGACCAAGACACACATGCCTAAAGATTTTTCCACTTTTTACTATTCCTAAACTGTTCAATTTGTTTTTTCTTTTCTTATTTTTTGTGATTAGTTTTTCTTGAAGCGTTCGCTGAATTGAATAATTAAACTTAAATTACCAATATAAAAAAATTCCGTATATTTCATTTGCCATTGGTTCGACATGTGCATATATACTCGCAGAAACATTCATACATACATGCAAGTGTACGTAGTACTACTCCTGAAAGCGTGCTTGATGTGGTGAAAGTATACACGCAATAAAAATGGTGCAATTCTCATAATGTGGAAAATTCGATTGCGAAAATTTTTTTTATTTTTCATTTTGCTTTTATTGAAGTTTGATTTATATCAAATGCAGAGGCTGAAAATGGGTCAAACAAAAAAATGTGTAAGATAAAAAGAAATAAAAAATTAAAGATGGAACAAAAAAAAAAAAATAAAATGAAAAATAATAAAATAAAATAAAATAAAATAAAATAATATTAAATGAATTAAAATAATATAAAATAATTAAAATAAAAAATAAATAAAATAAAATTAAAAAAAATAAGTTAAAAAGAAAATAATTTGAAATAAAATTAAATCAAATCAAATTAGATGAAAAATAAATAAACGAATTAAACTTAATAAAAAATGAA